ATAGCCTGTGCTTGTCCTTAACCCAAAACGAGGTACCTACATACTTTGTAAATCTGCCACAACAATCAAAACCACGTAAGTGCTAAGCCGATAAATGTATGTGCAGTACCTATAGATACTATGTGTGTTGTGGAAAATTCCGATATTTTCCCTCAATTCTTAGGACTGTATCAATTCTCGACAACACGGGGTTCGAACAACATGGTAAATATTTGACGAACGCATGCTACTGGGTTAGGAACTGAAATAATTTCATTATGTAAGCGTAATGTATCGGTCACGCCTCGTTACGTCACAGTAGAAGTTTTGCAATTAATGTAAACACACATTGAGGCCATGAATGGAAATGCCAATTAAAACAGTATGGATTAAACGGTGTTAATGTTTGCGAGCCGTTTCGTTGAATCGTTTTCATTGGATTACATTCAAAGTTGGTTGAAATCCCATTACGGAGTCATGAATTGGATCTGTTTGTGGAGACGTCAAGCTAGCCTTGTGACAGGGACGGAGCAGTGGGCGGGTTATATAGGATTACAGCCATTACAGGCGTGACACTTATTTAACGGAAAATTTAAGTAGAAATATCTTCGTAGAGGTCGTCTCCTGTTAATAAATCTTAGAGCAAAATGGCTAATTGTGTGCGGGTAAATAAGGAAACTCAATGCCGAGTACTCGTCCGGTTCACTTGCACTTAGTTTGCGCATAGATACGTATAAGTAGAGCACGGTTGTAGCTCGTAAGTCCCCGCTCGTGTGTTCAACATCTTATCTGTGTGAGGTGCAGAGAGCATTCAGTTTATGGCGCAACCTTTATGTGCTGGGTGTACTTTATCTAAAAACTGTTACAATAAAGGAATAACGTGGCCATTTCTATATCAATAAAAGAGAATAGATTTCTTTCCCGAGTTTATTGGAGTACTGATAAGACATATTGGTACTTATCAGTTTTAACAAACATAGCACTCAAGCGCGGAAAGGTTAATAAATAAAAATAATGAACGAATAATAAATCAGACGTAATTTATAAAAAATATGAGCATTAATCTTATCAGCGAATGGCATTTCCGATTTAGTAATTCGTGTTTTTAAAAACGCAATATCGAAAAAGACTTAAGAATATTTTACTGTGCAAATTAGGTTTGGCATTGTTATACAGCTATCAGAGTGGGTCACACAGTTCTATCCTACCAATAAATTCATGAAATACACACGTCAAGAATAATGATCATCATCACAATGATTTAAATTAAGACTGATATGGACACACATCTATTAAGTAGGTACATTTTAAATATGTATAACGTCATAATGTTATGTTCGCCCACGTAGCGAAACAAACAAACAGATCGAGTACAATGCTCTAATTATTTCATAATATCTTCGCACTCCATAAGGTATTATCATAACAATCTATTGACAGTATTATGTAGGAAAAATATAGACAATGTACGTATGAATTCTATTATTAGGTCTGGTCGAAGGGTTCCCTTGACCTGATTTAGGTAGACTACCTTACTTCACAAGGTTCAAAGCTTACTAAAATTTTCCACCCAAGGTAAAACTATACATAAATTGCTTGATCCTACTGAACACAGAGTTCAATTCATCTTACCCAATATTATAATAGCGAAAATTTGTGTTTGTGTGTGTGTGTTTGTTACTCAATCAGACCAAAACGACTGAAGGGAGAGTTTTCAAGTGTGGGAGAGCCATGCTTCGGACCCATGGGCCGCTTCGACCGTAGTGATACCACGGCTTTACAGAAAACCGACATGAAACAATACTTTCGTTGTTTCGTCGTGTGCGAGAGTTTACCGGAGGTATAAGTGGCCACTGCTGACCAAAGGCCTCTTCTCACACAGAGCAGTTTTGAGCACGCTTGCTCAATGCAGACAGGGTTGGCAGGCCTAATCACCCCAATAATCCTCAAATTCCTAATCCCCAAAACGCCGGTAACGCACTTGTGTTTCGGAGTTTCGGGAGTCACATTACTGGTGTTTCGGGTGTCCATGGGCGGCGCCATGAATAAGATTCGATTATGGCATGGAATAACACATATAGGCTATTTTTTCTCTTAAGCGAACGCGGATGAAGCCGCTAACAGAATCTAGTTGGTAAATAAAATCAAGAAAACGACAAACACTTTATGTCACGTCAATCGATGCGAGCCCTCCTAAACCAAGCATACAAGGACCGGTTTTCTGTATTATTTAACCTTCTATTTATATGTTTGTGGCACATTACATAACAAACTATAATTTTTGCAATGTCCTCACGAGGTCTTGACCATGGATACCTATGGAGAAGGTAATTAAAACTAGTTTGTAATATTAATCAGATCCAGTAATATTCACATAGCCAGAAAAATAAATATGTACTAACTAATATGGATTGATTTCCCAAAGGAAAATAGCCAGAGTGTGGAGCAATACCCACTTTAACTTTAGTCAACTTGATTTTAGTAATATATTTTCCATACACAAAAATATGTGTCGTTTAAGCTCAACAGCCAATTAGTCTTTTACTTCACAGTTATTAAAAATGTTCGCCATACGGAAATATTGAATGTCTTAGCTTTTAACTCCGAACTCCTAAAGGATCCATTTGCAATTCACACAATGTTTCAGTACCCATATTAGATTACAGAGATAATGTTGCAATAACCAGTTTATCTAAGTTATCGCGTGCCTTATCTAAGGTACCAGTTTACACTACTCCAGCCAATATCTAAGCCCTATTCGTATTCAAGCCTATTGTTTCATATTACAGCATATTTTCTGGAAATTCTACGAAATCTATAGGTACTGATATTAACTCCATATAACAACCCACCTACCTAGGTAGGTACGAGGCAAACAAAGAAACTTAAACACTTATTTATTTATTAAATCGATTGTATGGATTCTAAATCAATTCTTAGTCTACAAATATGTGGACGTGATTGTAGATATCATATGATATAATACTATCCAATTGTAAATTAATAAATGAGTTGTACGGTCATCATCCTCACCACTGTGCGTCATTGTAACTTACGTTACGGACATGTCAATGTTTTCGGTACAAAAATGTTGCAAATAACTTCACAGTATAGTACGCTTTATTGTGTGCCTCGTAAAGCGTATTGTAGCGTAATGTTACTATTCTGGCAACGAAACAGCCTAATTTCCGAATGCACGTCTGAGTTTCGAGAGACACGTGAATGACTCACAAAAACTCTAAATAAAAACAGCTGTATGATGTTTGAACGTTATTTCTACGGTGCCATGGCGAAACCAGCACCGTTTGTACGTTACTTGACCTTTGAACTTGAGAATTTATGAAGCATTTAAAATTAATTTCCAAATTAAATTTTAATCTAGCTGCTAAGCTGTTTACGTGTAAAAACAGAATACATAATCACACATTACGGCTTTGTTCTACCTACTTATGTTGAATTGATAATGTTAAAAGGTAACCATTTACGCTATCGTACAAACTATGAAACTATTCCAAGAAAAACGGTGGTAAAACTCCATTATTATTTGAATGAATAATACGCCTCTCCAGGTGTAAATGAATAAACGAACGTTTTTTACACCGGTCGACAGAACCCTAATAAATAGACTTGTCCCCTCGGAGCCAAGAAATACTTGCAAGAATGCGTCGGTGTTCGGACACACGGCGCGCTTCCGAAAGCACTTTCGCCTACGTTCGGTATCGCTCGGCAGTCTCCGCACCCCACAGCTGACTGGGGTAACGTGGGAGCGAGAAGAGCATGCGCGGCCCGCACGCGCGTGACAAGGACCGCGCGCCGCGCAACTCGCAGCGCCGCCATTTAGTTCTTTTCAGTGCTCGGCCCCCGTCGTAGTGACAGTGTATTTCTTTTATCACTAAGCGCTGAGCTTATTCGTTTTAATTGTGAAATTCATATAAAAAAATTGTTTACAAATGTTTGGAAACGTGTAATTTGTGAATGTGCAATGGTGTTAACGTTATACAGGTGAAAATACAAGCCGTTCGTTTGAGCATGGCTGGCTTCATCGCATCTGTTGTCAACATAAAATAACGTGGATTATGCAAGTTGGAGTAAAATGTGGACGAGTGTTAGGTGAATAATGTGTTTTTATTATAGTTAACGTGTCCACAGCTGCATGTGTGTGTCAGTTTTAGTTACAAGTGCCTCGTAATAGGTATCAGTATCGACAATAAGTCGGCGTAGGTATATCTTCGACAGACAGCAGAGTATTGTATGGAGGCACGTACGTAGTACAAGTTTGTGTAAAATATGAACAGTGCACGCGGTGCAATTAGATTATCTTCAATTACAATACATAAAGCGAGTGTGGCAATAAAGATATTGTAAACTGTACATAATCCGTCGTGGTTTTTATGTAATGAAAACTTACATACTACGGCTCGCTGGTTAGTTTACATTCGAGAATGTTGGTAATAAAACAAACAGTAAAGTACAAAGCATTGACTCAGTTAAAATGCTTTGCGTTGAAAACACTATCAGAATATTAGGTAAATAATTTAGGGAAGTGTTCTACTTCTGCATTTACAGTAAGTTGATTACGGTTTGAAACCTTGAAAACTAGGTCTAGGCGGGCAACTATTTATTACACTAACATGCAATGTAACAGTATCGAAACCGGAGTCTGTTATAAATGTGATAGCACCGTTATATACCTACCTATTGAAAACAAAACATCGGTTCTTTCATTAACATAATGTAGGTAATTCAAGTTTACTGCTTTTATACAATAGCTACTTACCTATATCACAAATGTAATATTTAAAAATACTAATATATATTGCCATAAATTAGTAAACATGGTAACGATTATATTAACCTGTGCATTCAAGTGAATATCCTTTGATAGCGTCGAATAGTTAGAACACAATAACAATAGTATAGTTACTCAACTAAAACAACACAATACAATAAACAAGAGATGAAGAACTTAGCAAACAATTTTCTATTGTTACAGTAAATAAGACTATGAGGGTTGTAATATAATGCAGCGGCTGCACAAAATATTCGTGCTGGCAATAGTTTGCGCAGCAGTGAGGGCACAGGAGTGCCCTTCGGCCTGCACGTGCAACAGCACCCGCGTGGCCTGCGACGCTGCTGCATCCCCGCAGGACAGACTCGGCCGCGGCCTATTCGCGCCCTTCAGCTCCCACCTGCAGGAAATCTCCTGGACTAACTCCAAAACAAACACTCTAGAAATAGACGTATTTGACGGACTCAACGACTTGGAGTACATCGACTTGAGCAGAAACGAAATCAAAAGAACCGAGCACGGCCAGTTCGCACGGCTGAGCAGATTAAAGTACCTTAACCTATCGCGGAACTTCATCGACGATATTCCCCGGTTCACTTTCGCCGATTTAGAAAATCTAGAGGTCCTAGATGTGTCCCACAACCGGCTCCACGTTATACCATTCCAGGTCTTCGGGCCGATGATCAAACTCCAATATTTGGATATATCGCATAATAAAATAGCTACTTTCTTAGACTACTATTTTAATCCTAATAGACAACTGAAAGCACTGTTCCTAAATAATAATAGCCTAGTCAAAATTACGTCTAATGCTCTAGTCAACCTGAAGGAATTGGAGACACTGGACATCTCTAGCAATAAGTTAGACTACATACCTAAGTCTTTATTCGATAACTTTGAACAACTAAGAGAGCTCAATTTAAGCTTCAACCAGTTCCAGAACATATCACAAGATGCTTATAAGAATCTTAAGAACTTAAGGTGGCTAAGCATGGGCGGTAATCGACTCCGGACACTGCCGCCCACACTCTTCCAGCATAACGAAAATCTTAAAACGATCTACCTCGATCACACTGAACTAACAGTTATACAAAACACTAACTTCAAAGGCTTAAGTACTCTACAGAAATTATATATAAGAAATAACGAATTTTTACGAGAAATAGAAACATTTGTATTCCAAGACACGCCGACCATAACGCACTTGGACCTCAGTTCTAACGCACTGCTGTCGTTACCCAAGTCGCTGACCATGTTGAACAACCTGCAAGAGTTCAAGCTGGGCAACAACCCATGGGCGTGCGACTGTCGCATGGCCTGGTTCGCTGGCTGGGCGGAGAAAAAGAAAGACATCATCAAGTCTGACTTGAGCTGCCCGCTCACCTACCCCAACGATATGATAAGGATATTGAACCACACCAACTGTAAACCTCCTACCCTGATATCTAGTAGTCCGCTGACACTATACAGGTTGCAGAAGGACGCTCTACTAGAGTGTAAATTCTCAGGTAATCCAATGCCGTCCATAACTTGGATCACACCGACGAGGATGGTATTCCATTGGAACCCTGAGCCACTGATCCCGGATATATTCCAAAAGCACGGCGTTGCCCACGATCAGTATTACCGGCCCATAGATAATGCTAAATCGCGAGTGAGAGTTTTGGATGATGGCTCGCTTTTCATAGGAGATATACATAGAGAAGACTGTGGAACTTACTTATGCTTTGCAACGAACCCCTCGGCTAACCTTACAGCGGAGGTGGTGCTCAACATAGATCCCATGACTATGTTCGAGATCAAAATGTATAGTTTACTATGTGGCGCGATATGTGCCGCTGGATTCTTAGGACTTACACTACTGGTGCAATTTTTGCGCTACATATTTTTCAGGTGAGTTTATTTATAATCTGAGTTTAAAGTATGTATCTAAGCGAGTGGTATCTGTCTAACAAAGTAATGAATATTTATTTTCAGATTCCGTCTGATGGAGACGTGCTGTAGTTGCTGCACGTGCGTGAGCCGCGATGCGCCACGCTCCAGACAAATATTTAGCATGCTGGACAACATAGAACAGTACAAGAGACAACAGTTAGAGAAACTACGGGAAAATTACGCGGTTCAAGTGAGTGTGATTTGTAAATTAGTTATGTCCTCACGTGGCTAACGTGAACCCGGTCTAAGCTGTGAATGTTCTTACAGGTTCATCGCATTAAAGAAAATTGTACGCAACAGATGGACTGGATACAGAACAGTTACTCCACACAAGCAAGTCATTTACGAAATATTAGAGACATCGGCAGCAACCACCTGAGCGCGATGAGAGACCAGTACTATGACCAGGTATTAACATAATATTTTTTATACAATTATTTGTAATACTATATCTGTATTCAGTATAGTCGTGAACAATTATAGAATCAACTAATATAAAAATTATTGATCGCACAGGTGAAACGCGTCCGCGAGTACTCCACGAGCCAGTTGAACTGGGTGCGTGAGAACTACGTGTTCCAGAGGAACAAAATACGGAAGTTCAGCGCGCACCAGGTGCTGCGACTCCGGGAGTCGTACAAGTATCAGCAGCAGACGCTCAACAAAGTGCTCGAGAACCTGCCCAGCCTGTACTTCGAGAACTGTCGGAGTGGATCCTGCGGCAGGAGTGACTCTATGGCCTTCGACCCCGACGTTGAGGTCATCGACATGTACCTCAAGACGAAGATCGAGAAACTGTCGAATCTTCCTAATCCGATTTTCGATGAGGAGAGCAAGATATCAGTGTACTACACGCCGACCGAGAGGTCGGTGAACTCCAGGAGAAACTCTCCCATTCCGGAAGGCATCCATATCAACATGATAGAGAAAGGTCCACCCCGGCTGCTGGCCATGATCAAGCCGCTGCAGACGGAGCCACCGACCTTGGAGTCGCCGACTCCACCGGGCTCGCCGTCGCCAACGACGTCGAAGGCGGCCATGTATCCTCGGCCTATAAAATACAAAAACGAGCGAGGCGACCGGAGCGAGCGGGGCGACCGGAGCGAACGCGGTGACCGGAGTGAACGCGGTGACCGAAGCGAGCGCGGCGACCGGAGCTCTCGCGTCGAGCGGGGCGAACGAAGCTCACGCGGCGAGCGTAGTTCACGCGACGTGGAGCCGAAGCCCGCGAGCGAGCCGCTGCTGGGGCGCGGCGCGGTGACGTTCGAGCGCGGGCGGCGGCGCGTGACGCTGCCGACGAGCGCGAGCTCGCCGGAGCTGGGCGCGGCGGAGGCGGCGGCGGCGGCGCGCGTGCTGCTGGCGGTGGAGCTGGGCGCGCCGGAGGGCGGCGGCCGGCCGTTGTAGTACCGGCTGCTGACGCGCGTGTACAAGGTGTACGCCGTGTCGGGGCGGTCGCGGCGGGGCCTGGCGGGCCTGGCGGGCCTGGCGCGCCGGCCGGAGCCCGCCTTGCGACTCTGTGATTTGAGCGGCGGCGAGCCTTCCTACGTCTGATGGTGTTCGGAGCGTGTCTTGCCGGATTGTTTCCAATGTCAATAATATTGTAAGGTTAGCATAGTGTGAAGGGACCGTTCGGGATGGCTCGGGCGTCGTCGCCGCCGTCGATGCCGCTTGTACTTCTAAGTAAGCTGTGATAGACTAGATTTGAATTTAGCGACAATTTAATTTCGTACTGTCTCTAGTGGTAGGCGATAAGGAGTATACTGAAACGATCTGTTCTTAATCGTTCGTAGTAGTGAATCGAATGAACCTGTTAATTAAGCATTCTGTGGGTATTAGAACTTGTAAATAACTTCTGTTTGTTTCAATCATTTTCCATTTTGATGTATTTTTAGGGTAAACTCTTAGAGTTATGCATTTTATATTGTTCAACTTAAAGTGAGGTATAAGAAGTTGTTACTGTCCTTGTTGTAATTGTTGCGCGGTCATTGTACTCTGTGGGCTCGCTGGGCTCTCGTCTGCTGCACGACAGTGCACTCACACACTTCCTCTCTCGACAACCTCTACTGTAACTATGCATTATCATATTTATATATATTTTGTGACTGTCCTACAGAATGTACAGCAGAGTCTTGCAGTGATATGCCAAAAATACAATCCAGCAATGATTATATTATATGACGTTTCTATTATAAAATATACAAATATTGTTGAAAATTTTCTAAATATATAAACAAGAGTAAAACAGCTAATCATGGAGAATAAATTATTTTTCAATGTACACTTTGGTATTATTTAATTTTTTGTGACATTTAGAGGCACTCACAGACCCAAAAACAAACAACAAGATTGCCATTTTCACATAGTTCTGATTACACAAGTTGTTAAATAATATGTCTTGTGCAGAACATGATGCAGAGTTTAAATATTCACTTGGCTCTCAATAACAATGTTAAGTAAACAACTGGCACACAACAATTACCAAGCACTTTCTAAGGATATCTTAAATCCAGGTTATCTAGTCAACAACTTAGCTTAATGAAATATTTACTGCTAACATTTAAGGTTTTTAATAAATTGAAACACAAGTTTGATGATTGATAGTTGAGAGAAGAATTCTTTAAAATACTTCAACAGTATATACAGATTGTTGCATTTAAAAGTGTAACATCGCCTTTTATTAAATTTCTTTTAAACGCGATTTCATGTGACACATGTCATGGCAGATATTCATGTACTTAAGGTAGAGGTCAATGACCCTAGAAGTATATAAAGAATATGGCGCCGAAACGTCTACAAATTTAAAGAAGCCGTACAAATAAAACACTTTGTTCTGATTTCAAAGTTTATTTAGCACGACGTATCTTGCATAACAATAGGATTCCAATGTTTTTACTAAATTAATATAAAGACGGACACACGGTTTTATATAATAGCACTAAATAAACTAAATGTGGAGACGCCGACAGACTCAACAAATAATATCACGCGACACGACATAGAACGTGATGATGAAAATGAACTAACAAAAAAGCCAATCTCGGTATCCCAATATTCCCTACATACACCAAAAAGAAAGAAGCAAAATAGCCTAGTTTATGGAAATATAAATACATTTGTTGGTTCTCAACGCGCTCTATAAATGCTAAATAAATAATTTTATTAGCATACTATGGTTATTTTTTATATGCTATTTATATTAAATCCGAAACGGAGCGGAAATAAGTATTTATCGATGCGAAAATGTTATAGTATAATAGAACAATTTTATATTTCTGTTTTGGAAAATACTATCAATTTAAACAGTAAACTAAGAACCTCTTTTTTGAAGGCGGTTAAAACGGTCTTAACAAAATCACTGAACGCACGTGAAGAATATGCTTAAGGGCCAATTTTCCAACGCAAGATAACTACTAAGTTTGAATATTTAACTTTGAATATTTAACAATTATTCCATACTAAAAACTGTCAAATGTCAATTTCATTCTATATATGTACGGTCCTAAGGCGTGTTTAATTTTACTTCTCGTTGTCGATAAAATATTAGTGTATTAAGAACTAGGCAAAGTGTCCTAGATTTCGCTTGTCTCCTAATTTTACTAAGTACCTAATTGCCGATACTAAGCAATCTATTTTTACAACATAACACCACGCCTTTTATCCCCGAAGGGTTAGGCAGAAGTGGAACCTACAGCACTTAATGCCACTGTACAATGTAACACCCAGTTTCCACTGTTTAAGTTATTGTTATAAGTCCTATGTGTAAGGGGGTGAGCCTATTGCCATATGCCATATGATCAATTCCAGACTCCGTGGTACTACTGACAATTTTTAAAAACCCAGTAATACTTTGCACAACCTGGGAATCGAACCCGAGACCCCTTGCCCGGCCAGTCGCACTTGCGACCACTCGGCCAACGAGTCACGTCTATTTTTAAGTCCTTTAAAATATACTTCTTAGAAATATCTCCTCAAAACTTTAGGCCAAATGTGTAATTATAACATAAAATATTCAAAACTTGTAAATGAAAATAATATTTGCTAAATAAGTGTTCGTGCAAATACCGGGAAACCTGATATAAAGGTACATCAGACACCACGATGTACGCATCATGTTACACGATGTCAGCCATTTTACTTAAAATGTGAATATATTAATATTAGCTGCATAACATGCAGTGAAACTTTATTGTTTTAATAACTAGAGAAGATGTGGTTGTTAAAACAAACGCGATATTTTCTGTCAAATAATTTTGTAACTGCCTCGTTGGCCGAGTGGTCCCAAGTGCGACTGCCGGGCAAGGGGTGTCGTGTTCGACTCCCTGGTCGGGCAAATTAATATTGGGTTTTTAAAAAAAATCAGTAGTAGCACGGAGTCTGGAATTGTGCCCGGTATATGGCAATAGGCTCACCCCTATTAAATGGGACTCATAAATTAAGTAGTGAAAAGTGGGTGTTACATTGTACAGTGGCATAATGTGCACCTCAGCCTAGCCCTTCAGGGGTAAAAGGCGTTATGTTATGTTACAATTTTGTAGCTTGTCGCAGTATGGGCCAGATACAGCCAGAATTCGGACAGATTCTTTTTATTAAATAGAAGATTCTAGGGGTTAAACCCATTATTTTATTTATTGTTGATTCTTGCCCAAAATGATTAGTAAAAAGACTTCATTCCCATCCATGAGAAAGTGCATCAACAATTCTAATTCCCGAGTCAAAAATAAATAATTGCCTCTGGTAGTTTTAATTGTTTTTTAATTATTCCTTTGGATTCCACAGTTAATATTTCCTAGTATGAATGACAATGACTAGATTCCAGATAGACTGAAAGTAATATTAGTAGTCATTGTTAAGATTAATTCAGTGCCAGACACTATGTATTGTTATTCTTCGTCATAACTTAGTCATTGAATTAGATCATTCTATATGAATGAATACTTTCACTAGGATAAACCAAGGTAGAACAATTATTTTGTCATTACAAAGTTTTAAATAATTTTAAGAGTTTATGTGTAACCTATGACATACAAAAAGTCAACATACATACAGATTGCCGTATTGTAACACCACAAAAATAAAACTAAATAATTTAAGCCTACCAACTTAAGAAACTAAACAAATTAGACCTAACAACAAACCATAAGAATCAAGAATGAAAATTAAAAAATGGAATAAAAACGAATCCCTGATCAATTCACATCCTGAATATACACAACCATAGAAAGGACATAGAAAACATCCTCGAATCCTAGAACCGCTGCAGTCCATCTGCACACATCCTCATATTACCGTAGGTAGCAAACAATACCCTAAGATTCCTTAATTAAGAAGACCAGACCCTTGTGACCAGCAGCTCTCAAGTAACAGCAAATAGTCCACTTACCTTGGCAGCAGTTCTGTTCCAGATGACCACCTTATGTCCAGAGTTGAGCAGGTTCTTCACCACTCCGCTGCCCATGATGCCCAGGCCAAGGAACCCAAACTTCATTTGGCTGGCTTGGATGTTCTTCTCCAGCAGAGTCTCTGACACGTTCTCCAAGTCCAGTGGTGGAGTATCCTGCAGAAGGTTGAAGGTGGAAGTTAATATTGAGCACTTCTTTGTCTTGTTTTTCAAATTCTTGAGGAGTCAACATTGAGTTTTATTTAGAGTTGGCTGAATGTGCAACCTGCAGCTGTAGCCAAATGCCATTTAGCGCTTGTCTACTCGTAGAGTAGAAAACTAAAATATATGGGATGACGTAAATTTTTACACTTGTCAGAGTCATCCTCAAACATTTATTTTTCTATTCTCTCGGTAGACAAGCGCTAAAGTGGCGTTTGGCTAAAGGCACTGATTTGTAGTCAGATTTTTAAGCATTTTCCTAACATTGGACACTACTGACTTTCGATTTAGTCATAGAATCGTTACCTAGTGCATGCTCTCTATTTCATGAGATTAAGAACTATTGAAACATTGTTTATTCTTTGGGGATTAAAATGAGTGAAGGTATATTAATGCTATTATAATATTCTTAGCGTATTTACATAAGATAATTATGTAGTTAAAGTATCAAAACTTTCTGAAATTGTACAAGCAAACGTGTAAAGGTACTACATGATCATCGAAAAGGGTGTGTTCGCAATTTTGAAACAACCAGTCCCAACTATGTAAACGTAATAAAATAAATAAGCTGCTGCTGTATATAAAAACGTGTCAGAGTACAAGTTCATTGACCCCTTGAAATATTTGAACATGAAACATTTCTTTTACAAGTATCTGTTATCTGACTTATCTGTTTATGAGAGGTAGGCAGAAGTGAACAGGCAACACTTTTCCCCAGATCTTTCTAATATTATAAATACGAAAGTTTGTTAGTTTGTGTGAATGTGATGAAATTGGGAACAGGGGTAAAGCCTATGTGTTATTCTAGACTATAAGTTTATGGTATTATTACCTTTCACCCCGCGGTAACGCGGGTAACCGCTAACAAAAGCTTTTATAAGTGCCGTATTAAAAATGGAGGGCGGTTTTTTTTTATATTTATTATACTCAATAATATTGGTCGCGATCAGAGTATAGCTTCCATATTCCATAATCCACAACAGGAAATCAATACACTTGATTTAACAAAATAAAAAGTAAATCCTTTCCAAAGTAATCCTTGTACTAATGAATGAAGAATTTTCCAATAAATGCCGAGCAATGCAAACTACAGACCATTTTCCACCATAACAGCTTCGGACACAGGTGAAAATAATATAATATAAGAGTGTGATGATAACCCATGTATTAACACAGTCAGTTGAATAGATCAACTGTCGAACAAGGGATATGGGGTTCGTTTGGTGAAACGCTTTGAGTAGTGTTTTAAATATTATATGTTGAATATGCCAAGAATTGTGAACCGTTAACAATAGCAGAAGTAATGAAAACTTGGCGTTCCATTATTGTCTACCTTTTATTTCTCTTTTCACAAAAACCGTTGTCCTTGCACTAGGATTTTCTCCTGTGTCGTAGGTGCGTTTACAAACACACAATCGGGTAGTTTTCAGGGTAAGAAAATCTAATTAGTCCATCAGTTAGATAATGAAAAAATATTAGACACGTATTTTTTTATCAACTCGTGGAAAGTTACAATTCTTAGATAAAATGGAGTTAAGTTTAGGAGTGGGAGGTAGTTACGTCACAGCGTGCTACAAAATGTAGCACGTTGTCACACGACATTTTAAATCAATATATCGTCGAAAGCATTTAATTTTGTGAGAAAAGAAAAAATACGTGTCTAATGTTTTAAAATAATCTACCAGACGGACATTAAAATAAAATTTAGGAAACTACCCTATTAATACACACGACACGCAGACTCGAAACAACAATTTGTGAAACATATAAAGAACTGCTCCTTGCGGGAATCGAACCTTCTACACATTGCCCAGCCACCGCACCAACTGCAGAGCAATAATGTGCTAATGTACCTAACCTAGTGCCTTCGGAGAATAAAAGGAGTGATGTAATATGATTTGTATGTTGTTTTTATGTAAATGTGTACATAGGATGCAGTAACGTGTTCCTAGAACGAAGATCCCATAAATCAATACGAGCCGAGCTGTAATTCGGTCAACTGTCGGAACCACTTGATGAATTTTGACCATATTTTATTATGAATCCTGCTTTTAGTCCGCAAGGCGTTAACCCGTCGAGCGTCCGCGTTCCTTATGTATTTCCTTATCCTTATGCATGCAAGAAAATGCATTTATTTGGCCATTGACACACGAAAACAAGGATCATTACAATAGAAATAAAACAAATACAGTCAAAATAAAAACAAAACATTAATAATAGATTTTATAAAAGAGAAAGCAGCATGGAGTATTTTTTCTTATGATCCACCGGGTGCTCATAAGGACGCTCGAGGGGTTAATAAAATTATTATAAGTAATTGTCTTTGTCGCTAGTAAAGTGGGTGTTAGTACAATCCTTTTACTAGGGATTCAAAACATAATTGGTGAGAAGATGAGTGGGAAGTGGGTGTTACATTGTCTCTGTCTACTCCTTGGCGGATTTTAAGCCGTGACGATAAACAGTACACATGTTTACAATAAACTGTTTGAGTGGCAATAAGACATGGAATCTATACAGATAAATAAAGTTTGTATTATTAAAATAACAGCTTTTTACTACATGCATATGAATATATATACATACGACACACATACAGACATAATTTTAGAGCTCCTGTCGCCTGTGACACAGGAATATTCCTAGTATAGGCATATTAGTTTTTAAGATCTTGTCGCTTAACTAAGATATTTTTTGCCTTTGTTGTTGTTATTATGAATAAAGATTTATTTCTTATTATACTGAAATTACATTTTTCACAATTTTTGTCTGCTGTTTGTTCGTTTGTTTGTACTGGCTAATCTCTGAAATGGCTGGACAGATTTTGCAAGACTTATTGGCAGGTAGCTGATGTACTAAGTAAGTAAAACATGCTACTTTTATTTTTGGAAAATTGAAACATAAACTAAGTCATGTTCTAAAATGCATATGCTATGCGGTCGAAGTCACGGGCAGCTTGTCTTGTTATAAAATCCTACTCAAGCTACTTCATTAACTTTCTGTAAATTAGGTCAATGTATCAAACTGTAGATAGATTGAGTCTATCCTTACTTTTAGCTGTAGAATAAAATACCAGCTACAGATCAACATACTTTTTTTTTATTAAAACCCAGTTATACTATTTTTAAAACCCAGTTATACTTTGCCCAAATCGAGTATCGAACCCGATACCCCTTGCCCGGCAGATGCACTTGCGACCACCCTGCCAATGAGACAGTCATACAACATACTACAGCCTCTAATAACTTTAGATTTTCGGCCTTAAACGTTAGCACATAAAGTTGAAAATCTCAATTAGAAAGACGAGTCTATTGACCTAATAAAAATAATATAAAATAGAAACACAACTTACAGGACGCAGAATGTTAGAAGGACGATGAAGCAGGCTGGACTTCTTGGAGAAAGAATGGTTCAGCATCGAGGGCTTCTCATTGGCTGCATCGATGTCCGTGTAGGAGCGAGACATTCCCTTGCTCTTCTTGCGGGGCGTCGACTTGGTCCCGGCAGACGACGACCGTTTAATAGGCTTCACCTTAGAAATGCCCAAACGTATCTATAAATATTGAGAATGGTCATTTATGAAGTGGTGATGTTGCCACCATGCAGTGGATGCAGTCAGCCGTAAAACGTACCTTATACCTGTGGTGGTGGAATGAATGCTTGCATGCAACCATGCAGAAATTGACCATGCAATGATGCAGCAGTATGTCTTGGTGATATTTTGAACAGTTTATAATATACTCTTTGAGTTAATATTTTTATTATATCCAGTATGAGTATTATTGTCAGCAGGCTATTAAATAATGGTGTTATTAGTTGATTAGTTCTATCTTTCTTACCTTAGGTGTAGCACTCTTCTTTTTAGAAGTTGTGGGTTCAGAGGCAGGTCCGGCCACCTCCTCATCAGCTGGTTTCTCCTCCTGGTTCTCATCTTCCTCCAGCACATCCTTCAACTTGTCAAACTCCTCCTCAGCATTGCGAGCATGGTCGTCCAGATCACCGAATTTCTAAACATTTGGTATTGAGTTAGTTTATTTATTGTATACATAACATGCCTTATACCAACTTCTACCTAGCACACATGATTCTTTTATTAAATTATTTTTATACCTGTCAACAGTAACATGTGTTTGTATTATTTGTTTCCAATACTTAACATAACAGGTAGGTATATCAAGTATCAACACACATTTTGAAACTGTCTAATTAATTCATAATTTCAGACAACATACATCATTCTTATGCTAACGCACCAATGAACAACGGTATAATAATTAATTTCACTATTTGTGAGAACTAATAAACTCTCTTACTAAGAAGTAAATATGAAAATATCATTTATGACCAATCATAGAGGAAGATAACAAACAATCAAACATGAACAATCTCAAAGACAATGAGTTCTCTTTTTCATGGACTTACCTCCGGGTTAACAATGAACTCCTCAATCTGGTTGACTGCCTCCTTAAAGGCAGCAGTCTTGCAGGACTTGATGAGCTGCTCCTTGAACTCCTGGTACGGCTTGATGTTGTTGTCTTCGATCCAAGCACTGTTGGCAATAATCTTTCATCAGACACTAATTTCATAAGGGAATTGCTGCAGTTAGGCAGTTTCTAAGTGAAGATTGAACGGGGCTACATTAGGACCACCCATAAAAGAAAACAAACAACCTAATTTGTTAAGTTTTTCTAGATTCTGCCCTATTTACAAGCTTTTATCTAAAAGAAAATGCAAAAACTGTTTTTGCAATCTGGAAATGTGCCTGGTATATGGCAATAGGCTCACCCCCTATTACATGGGAATTATAACATAAATAGTGAAAAGTGGGTGTTACTTCTGTGTGCACCTCTGCCTACCCCTTAGGGATAAAAAAGGCGTGATGTTATGTTATGAAATGCAAAAACAGCAGTTGTGCTTATGGCCCTTATACATATTTCTTTACATATTCGTTTTTGATAAACATAACGATGTAGGTACTGCTACAGAATTTTGAAAAACGTTATAATTCAAAATTTAATATATTCATCCATTGAACACATAAAAACAATGAAAAAGTAACTGTTTACTTATAGATATGAAAGTAGAAAAGAGTGATAGGACGATTTACGTCAAGTGAGGTGAGATGACGTCACCACTCACAAACCCGGGCGCGTCCGGTAACTGATGCACTATATTTTTTGTAGTCAACTCAAAATCAATACACCGTGCAAATCTGTTCCATATCATATACGAATCTAGGTCACTGGGACTAGCAAAGGGTGGATGTAGAATATAATTTAATTACTCAAACATTCATTGGGCGAGTGGTTGCAACCGCGACTGTCGAGCGAGGAATCATGATTTGAGGACTAAGCAAAGTCATCATCATCAGCCAGAATACTATCTACTGCTGAACAAAGGCCTCCCTTTTAGCGATAATCACCACACTTGGTAGGCAACTTGGGTATCACACTTAGGGCACCGGAAAATTACAGGATGCCAGTGCCAGTGCCAATTCCAATCACACAATAACAGGTTGCAGTTATAGGACATACCCGGGGAAAATAATAACCTTGCATGGTGAAATGGATTATATAGAGATGGACATAAAGACATCATAACTGACAAGTGGGAGTTACATCTGACAAGTGCATTAACCCTTCAGGGAATGGGAGGCATGATGTTATGTATGTTGCTTTATAATTACTGGAATATGGAGCGAGTTCGCCCGGGAATTCTAGGAAAAAGAAGCTCGGCCCGTTCCGCAAGGGGTAGGGGATAAATCTACCACATATATGCAACGTAGTTACATTTACTGCGAAGATCCAATTACACGTTTGCTGGAACCAAATCGATATTCGCACACGGTATATATCATGCTATTCGACACTAGGTTTATGATCGACGCTCCAGATTTCACGTACCCTGAATTTTTGTTAACTACGAACGATATGAACCATTTTTTAAAGATTACAATTTTTATGGAGGCAAACGATATTTATTTTGATTAACATTAGTGATCGTACTTCCTTCCGTAAAATTGCAGTTTAAAAGAACATTTCAAAACTGAAAAATCGAGGGCACAAGTTCTGTAATGAGTTTCTCTGGGTGGTCATGTCTGATTACGAAATAGGTGTCTTTATAGTCACCAAAAACTGCACCAAATAATTGCATTTGATTTTTAACCACAGGTTTAATAAAATGTCACTATTATTTTAAAAGGGGAATAACTGTACGCACTCCAATCCCTAACATTCCATTTAAGCCCACTCAGTGATAAGTGGACATGCAATATTCGTGGACACGTATACCATTACAATAAACCTAAACGTAGCAGCAGTCATTAAACACATTCAAACAAACCGAACGGTGCGATGCACTAATTTGAACAAACGCAAACTACTAGCGAGCTGCGCAGTTTGACAGTTCACAAAAAGTTCCATAAACTTTTCGCGCACGTTTATTCAAAATAGTGTCGTTTAATACAAACAAATGGTTCAATAAGGGACCGGTGTCAAGACCTCGGTGGTCTAATGACTCTCTCATCCTTTTAGAATCGTGTTATGATGAGGCCAAGAAAGATTGCCACAAATTGCCCCCGCAAATTGAAGGGGACTGCTAACTGCATAATGCAACTTTACTATGTAACAATCGCATCTTACAAGTGTATTGTCGCCGAGTGTTTTATACACTTACGAATTCTTTTTAACCACTGAAAAAGGAGAGGTCGATGCATATATTTATTTTTATGTGATTTGTAATTATTAATTTGACCTTTTTACCACTTTTTGTTAGCTGTATTATTTATTAATCCTATAGATTATTGCTAAGCACTGTATCTTCCTAGTCCGTACTGCAAACAACCTCTGAAAATTCTAATCATTCTACTTCTGAACCCTTTCGGCGGCGATAGTTACACTTGCGACCACTCAGCTTCACTCAAGTGACATCGATAGAAAGAGAACAACGAAAAAAAGTGCATTGCAAAAAATATGTGTATTTCTCCAATGCTTGACAAAAAGGACTTCCCGCTTATAAATTAGGTTTCAATAATAATGGGCTGCTGGGTGCACTCTAAAGCTGTGTGACCACAGACTTAGTAGAGTTCGCTTTTTTTTAAAGGGGTAAAATCATCGAATGTCTGCTCCCGCCTGGGTGAGGCGGAAGGGAGTGTCAGACTCTTACTGACTAAAAACCACCCGGTTCCTTTTCCTGCACGTCGAGCCGGAGCCCCGGTAACCCGCTAGGTACTCCGCGACAATAGAGTATGCATATGAACAAACGTTATGACGTTCTCTACATACCGGAATTTTAACACTGTTCTTTATCGCGATATGATGATGTTTCCTGTGGAGCTAGAGTCAACAGTGCCTCCTCATTGCCTCTCGTTAATGCATTGTGAATCAAGTAACCGATACATAGGTATCCATTGATAGTTAGGTTTTCTACGTGTACTACCCAGGCACCAACAGATGCACTTTTTTTATATTGGTAATGGGTCGACGTTTGGCCACTATCACGTCTGGTGGTAGGCGATGATGCGATCTACGATGGAGCGCGCTTGCCCATAAGCAACTTATACGCTCGAGCCTTGAAGACACTCAAAATATAATTCTTCAGGAAACAAACAGGCAAACTAATCCTGTTTTTTTTTTTAAAAAGCAGAAGCGCCTTGCCATGTATCTGGTGGTAAGATGATGACAAGGATTTGATAGAATTCTCTGTAATTGTATCCGATAAAAACCAAAAGCCTGCAACTTTCCACCTGTGATCGAGGCTTTGAAGAAGTTTTTGAGAGTTTCTTGGCACGCCTTTTGATGTTCTAGTGTCTCTAGCTGGTATTTAACGCGAGTCTGTCACCAAACCAACGATAAGGTCCGTAGGCCCAATTTCAGATGGAATTTAAGAAACCCAATTTCTTTCTTACTTTATACACTATTCTAAATTAAAGTTGGTATTGAATTTTAACTTATGTCGTTTTCCTCCTTCTGCTAGCCAAAGAGGAGACCGGGCGCGTGAGGGAACGAACCAGCCGGGAGACACTCCAGGCGTTGGAGATCGCGCGGCGATCTCCGATCATCGTAACCGCGGATTTGCGGACGACGATTAAGGGTAACTCGCCACCTGACCAGAACCCGACCCGTGCGTAACGCCGCATCGCGTTCCGCGCACGCCTCAAAGAGCCATCAGGTCACCACAGATGGGGCCCAGTAGAGACGCGAAGGCGTTAGGCCTTCGCGTTTCCGCGAAGCTCCGGTTGCCGGAGCTCCAGCTCGAAGAGCAGAAGTACGAATAGGGTGGTTTTTAGTTAGCAAGAATCTAACACTCCCTCTTGCTTAACCCAAGGCAATAGAAGTCATTGGATGATTTTCCCCCTTAAAAAAAAAAGACATGAAACATTACCATCAGTCCACCACAGTTCTAGGATTCTGTGACTGTTACTACTCAAAACTGGCGTCATAGCCAGTCAAGTCAGTCAAGAGGGTTTCACGTGCTCTTCGATGCTCAATGAACAATCAGAAATGACACCTGACAGACCACAGAATATGGTATACGATTTACGATGTAGTTGTCCATCTAATGGAGTACTATGAAGCACAGTGACACGACTGACAATGGTCAGCATAAAGTATATTAGTTAGAGGAACGCTGGACACAACAGCATCGTGACAACAAAAAAGCAATTGGAGTAAGAAGAAAGTCTAAGAACTCAAAAAAAACTTTCAAGTGGTTCCGACTGTCACTTAAGCGAGTGTGCGCAAATTGTCGAGCAAGGGCGAGATCCCTTGCTTAGTAGTGGCGCCATTCGATTGTCAGGTCCGATATTAGCTTTTTTTTAAGTAGTAGCCGGGGATTAAATTTTAAGCCCGATAAGGACATCTCCTTTACCTTGAGAGCCATAATATTAACAAAAGTTACATTTTAAACGTATTTGCTATCTGCAGACTTGCCTACTTACTACTCCAAACAAAAGGCGAGATGTTCAAGATGATAATTAACTATAAAATGTTTAGATAAGTAAAAGCGACGGTTTAAAAAGTATGTTCATCCAAAAAGTTTGTCTGTGTGGTCTGTTTGTCGAATAATCTTGGGGAGGGAGAAGTCAATCAAATAAATTAAATAAGATCTTTATCAATGGTGGTTTTTAATGATAGTATTTGATATGGTTCAGATAAAAAAAGAAAACCATGCAGTAGTGTTAAGAAGCCATGTTTCTATTGCCAGACCTCAAAAAGAGTATCCTCTATAACTCTAATAGACCCCCAAGGCAAGCATGGGGATTAACAATAGAACTGGAAATAATTTAGATACTTGTGCACATGCTGCACATACTTTACTCCTATGGCAGATCAGATCAATTGGTAATTGGGACCTCTTGATCTATTCAATCATGAGGTCACTTAACGCAATAACAATGATAGCTTCCCTTTTATTTAGTTTTGAGATAATACCTACAGCTTAACATGAGCATGGAGGACGGAGGTGTACTAACTTCTTGCAAATAAAAGAAAATAAAGTACCTATCCCTACTTAACGGAATATTAACAAAAGCTACTTAGAAACCAAATTTTCCTAAATAGAAAATTAAATTAAACTCCAAACAAATGATATTGATAGCTGCTAGTTTAAAAATATAAAATAATGAAGCTAAATAAAAAAAAAGAATTAACAATAGGCAATTCGAAGAATGCTGCTGTACTTTCACAGAGATTACTTAGAACTTAGGTGTTCATTGACTAAGTAAGAACTGCTGTAGCTGCTGTTATAAAGTTCTATACTATTCAACTAAAATATTAAAGTTGTATTTTAAAAATTGCTTTACATGTTTATGAAAAAGTGACATACATAAAACCATAAAGTTAAGTGTGAGAGAGCCATGCTTCGGCACAAAAGGGCTGGTTCGACCGATGTGATACCACGGCCTCACAGAAAACCGACGTGAATGTTTATTATTGTCGTGTGAGTGAGGTTACCGGTGGCCCAATTAAAAATCAATATAGAGAGGGCCCGGCGCCCATCATAGGAGCTGATGGTGGATACTAGAATAGTTTTTAGTCAGGTAGGAATCCCACACTCCTTAGTTTGAAGGCTAATAAAAACTGACTGCCTCGTTAGTCGAGTGGTCGCAAGTGCCACTGCCGGGCAAGGGGCCTCGGGTTCGATTCCCGGGTCGGGCAAAGTAATACTGGGTTTTAGCACGTAGTCTGGAATTGTGCCCGGTATATGGCAATAGGCATGGGATATTACATGGGATTCATAACATAAATAGTGGTTATTACATTGTACAGTGGCATAATGTACACCTCTGCCTACCCCTTAGGGGATAAAAGGCGTGATGTTATGTTATGCAAAAACTGGCCAAGTGCGAGTCAGGCTCGCGTACGATGGATGCCATACCATTGATTAGGTAAACGACAGTATGTACACAGGATAGGTTACATACACTACCTACAATAAAATATAATACGTTATTGTTGTAATACATTTTTAAACTCTTCTGAAATGTGTGTGACCCAGCATTTTTCTGTACTAAACTATCATTTGTGACTTCTAATTTTATAATCATGTTACCTTGAGCCTAAGTTTTCAACTTCTAAAATTAATTTCAAATTCATAAATATAATGGCTTTCTATGGTCCAGGTTCAGATTTTTATTTATCTTAACCAGTATATCCACCTCCATTTTCAACAAGTTAAGAATCCCATATACTTAGCCTCCACAAACCATACCTTGTTAAAATGACAGGGTAAGGTGAATAACATAGTCTATAATATTCTGTATTGAGAAATATTGTGACCTTCATGGATATCATATAATTCTCCTTCAGAATCTACATGAGGTTCAAATTGTATTGAAACCAATAATCATATGAACATCACAGCCTACATTTTTAATTATTATAAGTATTCTAGGTTAAACTTACTTTTCTTACTAAAGTAGCTCAACTAATACTCCTGAATTTGACCTTATGTTAAGGTAATGTTAAGTATCATAATCATTTGACATAACTTCATAAAACTACCACAATAAAATCATCTCTTACTACCACTTTTTCTACATGGTAATCCGGTAAACAAGCATTTGGGTCACCTGATTGTAAGCAATCACCGTCGCCCATGGGCACCCGAAACACCAGAGGTACAAGTGCATCACCGGCCTTTTAGGGATTAAGAATTTGAGGACTGTTGGGGATTCATGGATTGGGGGATTGGGGAGGGGAGGAGGGTAATTGGACTTCCGGTAACCTCACTCAAAGACGAAACAGAACACTTGCGGTATTTTACGTCGATTTTCTGTGAGACTGTGATAGCACTCCGGTTGATCCGGCCCATTTGTGCCCAAGCATGAATCTCCCACACTTAAATTACTAATTGTGGGATAATTAGCTTACACTGGTACTAATAGTAATAACAATTAGATCATTAAACCTTAGGAATTAAAGAAATAACTTAGCTATTGAAATAGCTTAATATCCTATTTTAGAAAGGTAATTAATTAGTAATTAGATCATTAACTAAACATAAAATATTGCAAAATAAATCTCCAATATATCTTTCTAGAAAAGAATATAAGCAGAAGTCTGTACTTCTGGAGTTCTGCTGTAGTTATGCAGAATTTTGTAAATGAATTTAATAGCAATGGGCCGGCTTTTGGCCGGTGTGTTAATCTGTCAAAAACCAAGCGGTCACCGGTGACCGCAACCTATTGTTCTTTAATTGTGTCTATAAAACCGGTACTCGACGAGTTAAGATATAACAAATTGAGAGGGTTATTGGGGATGTTACATTCAATATGTTCATCATGGGTTGATGGGTGTTCACCAAAGGCAGGATCGTGTCATTAAGGTTTAATGATTTTAATGACATGATCCTTCTTTACTTACAAAGTCATTTTAAATCAATGCTTATAGTACCTTTCAAAAAGTACTAAATACCTTCGATTTCCTACTGTGGTAACACTAGGAGATATAATGTGTTATTTTAGTTTTGTGGTAGATTCAAAGTTACTCTGACTATGTTATTATGAAAACAGTATGGTGATTAGTATTTACAATTAGGGTATTAATGTAACTAAATGTTAATGAACTTATTATTTTATATATCAAGCATTTTGTAAAATGTCTTATTAAAATACCATTATAAATGTAATTATAATTACTGTAATAAAAACTACACCTGTTGGCGCCCAAAGGGGTAAGCAGATATGCACTTGTAGTGTACTTATTGTTACTCTCTTTAGTTTTTTATACAATAGAAATGACAAAAAGGGGCCAGTTAATAATTACAATTAAATGGCAATAAACTACTTATTCACAGTAATTTGTGCTATATGGATATTTTCAGTTTTAAGTTTTATTATAAACATAAACGAATATCAAATGCTCTAACTGGTAGCATACTTATGAAAATTGGAATCTTTATAAATAAGTACCTCATTGATATAATCTAGTTTAGAAGACAATTTCTTTGAATATAATTAAGGATATTAGTGCTTTAGTAATGTGTTGTACCAGTGTTGCTATGGCAAACAATCCAAAACTACTATGAATTGGAAAGTTTTTAAAGACAACTGAACAAACTTATTTCTTAGTGTGAATAATACCATGAAGGCTCTTGATAGCCCACTTCAAGTTTGATAAAACCTTTTTGGTCAGAAAAAAAAATATAGTCCATAGATAATGTTGTTTACTTAGTAATAAAGCTGGTACTTACTAGTTGTTGGTGCCGAAGAAGTAGATACATTGGGCGTTTGTGGCCTTCTTGGGAGGCTTAAGCTCCGGAGTAGGAATGGCTACCTGAAAACCATCACAAACCAGAATTAGGGTCAATGTTTTCTCTCACTATTATGACATATCTCAACTTGTTTATCAACTTCAACAGCTGTGGAGGATGTCTAACTCTATGTTTGAAACTTTTTCCTAAGCCTTAGACCCCAGCCACGCAATATTACAGAGACATTCACTCATAATTATCAGGAAATTTTCCCGCCCATGAAGCGTTCATTTTATCTGTCATTTTCATCAACAAACACTTCAACAGTTGTTTACAATTTCTATTTGTGATGTTTACTAATATAAAATGAGTGTTTTATTATTTATTACTTCAAAATTAATAAGGAAGGCGTCTTACCCGGCCGGGCCAAGGGCTGAATCCCTTCATCTTGGCCCTGAAACAAACAAATGACACGTATTATCCTCACTGAAACTGATTGAACAGCACAAACACATCTGAAAAGCCTCTAATTTCAATACATACCACACAAGATCACCAAGTTTGAAACTCTCAGACATGGTACACGTCTGCTCTCTTCAACTTTCCACGACGAACTAACCAAAGAGAAATGTATTCTTCATAGATGGTCTAGAGTTTTAGCGTCTATCATCTAGTCTATGATTGCTGTGAAAAATCAGTTTTTTCCGGTGAACATGAATCGATAATTTTCTTACTAATTAAACTTTGTACTGAAATTATTATAATTATTTAAAATGGTGAATGAAATAGTTGTAACTTATATCTTTTCAAAAGATATTTTTCAAAAGATATATGAAAACGTCTTATATATTAAAAAATCACGAACTGTGTAACCTAACCTTTAGTTATTGACAGTGACAGCTTGATTTGACGTTTCTCATTTTTAATCTATTTCGCAGTTTTCGCGTAAATTGTGATTTGGTTTACGTTTCGTTGTTAATTAAACCGCCAAAGTTAAACTTAGTTTGTAATGAATTTTATATAAAATGTCCAAAAGGTTTTATCCACAAACAAATGGGGAACGTAAAAAAGCAAAACTTGATATTAGTATATCAGATCATAACTTCCCACTGAGTCAAAACAATGAATTCAACCAAGGTAAAGTTTTGCATTCAATCTTATTTTGCTGTTTTCATTGATAAAATAACTGTAATATATACTTAGCAAGCAGTTGAGGCGGTTTCCGTCACTAGTACAATCTCTAAAACTTTGCAAAAAGTATTTTTTGTTAAGGTTATGTGTAACTTTATTTCACGCCGTAGTTACCAACAATGATGACAACTGGGGAGATGACAATGATGACGAGATCCTGCTGCTCGCCAGCCAAGCGTGCGAGGAGGCATACAACAGCAATGACATCAGTCAGCTGCCAGACTATAGTATGTGTATGCAACCTGGCTCAACAAGTACGCAACTTAGTTTACAACCTACCCCAAGCACATCTAAAACCGAATTTTCATTCAAAAAACCGTCATTCAACCGGCCCTCTGCTATATCAACCCACCTGAAAGAGAAATGCAACAGAATATCTTCACCATTACCTGGTATCTCATCCAAAGTTATACCTAAGACAAATGGACAAGTAAACATGTCTGATGAATTGATATTTAGTGATAAAGTGTTCAAGAGCCATGATTCAGATCAAGTTTACCGGCAACTACTGCAGATGCAGGAGGAGAATGCTAAACTGAAGTCAGAGAATGGAAAGTTATTGGAGAAGTGTGTAACTAAAGAAGGGGAGGCTTCTATACTCCGGACACAGTTGAAGAGTTGCCAGGCGGCTGTGGATAATGCCAGGCTAGAGAAGATCAAAGCTCAAGAGAAAGTGCAGATGGAATGGAATGAGAAACTCACTGCAGCTAACAAACAAATGCATGATTTGAGGACACAGTTAGATTTTAAGGTATGTTTTGACACACAAGAGATAGATAGATTAGAAATCTCTTTATTGTACAATGAGCGATCTTATCACTAAAAAAGTGATCTATAGACATCATTTAGAAGGATAAACAGTAAGGGAGAACATGGAGAAAGGATTACCTTGCTCTGCAGACTTCTGCGGGGTACCAAACTAGTTCTAAAAGTTATAACAGTAAATATCATAGTGAAAGTAAACTAATACTACTAAAGAAAAGACTGCATGGTTGGGGCGGTGGTTGAGCAACTGGCTGCCGCGCAACGTGTCGAGGGTTCGATTCCCGCACGGAACAACTCTTTGTGTGATCCACAGATTGTTGTCCTGGGTCTGGGTGTTATGTGTATGTGATATTGTATGTTTGTAAACACACCCACGACACAGGAGAAAATCCTAGTGTGGGGCAATGTTTTTATAAAAAAGTATGTCATGCTATAGTACTTCAAGTTTCATTGTGTCAACTTCACTGTGATAATGCAAGATAATGATTGTTACAGAATCTCGAGATAATAAGTGTCAAAGAGAAGTGCAAGAAGCTGGAGTCTTCGAAAATAAAACTGACACAAGTTACTGTTACTGGAAATGATATATCACAAAGGTAACAATAATAACTTGAATATTTTATTAACTTGTTTACACAATATGCAAAACCACAAAATAATTTTCATGAGAATAACTAAATTAATTATCATTTCGGCTTACTGTTTGGCTAGCAACTCACTGTTCATGAATATTATATGAGATTCTAGTATGGCTTGAAACCAGTTGAGTTCCTCGTCATATAGTCATGTGAGTAAGCCGAAAACATAATACCTAATTAATAAAGAACTTGCAGTTCATACAATTGGAGTAACTATCAAAATAACTGAAACAATGTACAAAATAAATGTAAATATTTTAATATTCAAGACTAAGTAAAGAGATAAGAAATAAATGGGACTCATAACATAATTAGTGAAAAGTGGGTTACATTGTACAAGTTCACTGAACTCATCAGCTTATAGTCTTGCGACTGATCGCCGATAGAAAAAGAAAGAAAAAAAAAACATTGTACAAATGGCATTAAGTGCCGGAATGTGCACCTCTGCCAAACATTTCAGGGATAAATAGCGTGTTATGTATAAAAAATAAACTTAATTTTGATAATTCACAGGCACTACAATAACTTAACACAGAATGATACACTGGTACACCAGACCAAGAGAGTGAAGACCACATCCAATGCCGTGCAGACTGAAGGGAATGCTCACATGCTGAAACTGAGCAAGACATGTAAACTAGGTACTTCTTCTATAAACTTACATTTCATAGTTTATAAGGTTAAAAACTCGAGGTATGAAAGTACTCATGTAAAATAGTGATACTAATATTAGGTTTTAGTATTCAAAACATTACTGGGTTTCTAAACAAAATCTCAGTAGTAGTACTGAGTCTGGAATGGTGCCTGGTATATGTCAATAGATATTAGGCCCTATTACATGGGAGTCATAAGATAAATTTTGACTGCACGGTTGGTGCGGTGGCTGGGCAACCGGCTGCCGTGCAACGTGTCGCGGGTTCGATTCCCGCACGGGACAACACTTTGTGTGATCCACGAATTGTTGTTTCGGGTCTGAGTGTCATTGTGTATGTGAACTTGTATGTTTGTAAACGCACCCACGACACAGGAGAAAATCCTAGTGTGGGGCAACGTTTTTTTAAAATAAAAAAAAATAAAAAATAAAAAAAAATTGTGAAAAGTGCCGTAATTTGCACCTCTTGCCTACCCCTTTCTTTGGGGATAAAAGGCGTGATGTTTTGTTAGTAGATAGTAGTGATTGTGTTTTGTTATGAGTCACATGTAATAATGATACAGATTTTTGGACTACACTTTACCTTTTAAAATCTATTATTACTATAACTTTGTTAGGCAGTCCAACAATACTATGGAAGCAGCATTCTTTACATGCAAAAATACGCAAACATTTAATTTTTTACTCAATTCCAGAGTCAAAAACGAACACCTCAATTCTTCCATACATACTGGAACCGTCCACAACGCAGCATCATTCCATTCTGGACTATAACGAGAAACTGCAGAAGACCACAGATTTATCTCAGAATAAGTGCAGGATATACAGTACATTTCACCGTCTGCCTTCTACTCCAGTGCTGAAGGAGACAGGGAAGACTAAAGTTATGATGAACAGCATCTACGAAGATGTTGCTTGTGTGTTCACTGGGAATGGTGAGAGGATTGAAGATAGGTACTTTAATGTGAGTATTATGTTGAGATTAATTATTATATTTTCGGCTTACTCATCGAAGTGTTTGACGAGGAACTCGACTAGATTTTACTGTTACCGTCGCGACAGTCGCCGCGTCGCGTGTCAGCGGAATGCTGCTCATGAAAATGAGCCTCTAGCATGGCTTGAAACTAGTCGAGTTCCTCTTCAAACACTTACGTGAGTAAGTAATTTAGTATGTCTCCCGAAATATTTAATATATTAATTAGACAGATTGAGATTCTTGAGTAATAGGGTAGACGACTAATTTTTATTTTAATGTCCGTCTGGTAGATTATTTAAAAACATTAGACACGTATTTTTTCTTTTCTCACAGAAACGAATAGTTTCGAAGATATATTGATTTGAAATGTCGCGTGACGTCACTTCTCAGTACATTTTATACTAAGAAATGACGTTTTAGCCCCCACTCCTAAACTTTGATTCGTTTTATCTAAGTATTGTTTTATTATACGACAAAATAAAAAATACGTGTCTAATATTTTTTCATTACCTAACTTACGGACTAATTATATTTTTAATTTTCATACCCTGTCATCATCCCCATTGTCGTGAAACATTTTTCATTCTGTAACTAGTGCATTATAAGGTTTAGTAAATATAGGTTTTTCGAAGTTAGTTGATAAATAAGATTTAATTTTGTATTCATTACAACATTTTGAATGTTTTAGAAAAGCCTTGCTTGAAACATACTAAACTAACTAAAATCGCGGATTACTCACGTGAATATACTGAGAAAAGCTCTACTAGTTTCGAACCACAGAGGGGTCCTCCTCATGAGCAGCATGCGTGGTCGCGCAGCTCACTGGCTGGCGTTGGCTCATGAGGAAGAACAACAATTTAAAAGCCTTGCGCTTCCTATTCTTTCTTTACTTTTTTTATTTGGTTTTTACTTATCTGTAGTAAAACTTATACAGTACTTTTTGAGTATTTGAACAAATCTAACAAACTATTGTATGTTACAGATCTTCAGCTCAGTTAAATCAATCCTGAATGAAACTCGCAGCCGGCTGGAGACGGTCTGCCAGCGCGTGACTACCGCCTTCCAGAAGGAGATGGATGAGAAGTACATGGAGGTCACTGCCACATATCAGTATGTTAGTAGAGAAGAGCTGCTGAGAGGCAGGTGTGTAGTGTATGCTCTTCTAACTGTCGGTTCTTGGCAGTGGTTCGCTAAAAACCAGCTACCTCGAATTCATCTTCACCCTCATCCATGCGAAGGCCATTATCGACGTCATACTATATCAGACGCCGATAGCAAAGGCTTATAAAACATCTTTAACGATTATAACATTCATTATTTCTGGATGATGGACACCCATGAAATCCTTTATATAATACTAGCGTTTACCCGCGGCTTCGCTCGCGTTACAAAAGAATAAAAAGTAGCCTATGTGACATATACCAATACACACAGCGCCATCTATACCAATACTTTTGTTTTTGCTCGGGAATATCAATTTTTCCGGGTTAAAAAGTACCCTATTATTTAATCCGGACTTCTAACTTTACGTCTGCAAAAATTCAAAGCAATCGGTTTAGTAGTTACGGCGTGAAGGTGGAACAAACAAACAAACAAACTCACTTTGGGAGGATGGAAGGATTGTTACTTATTTATTTACTGCAAGGGTCGCAAGGGCGACTGCCGGGCAAGGGGTCTCGGGTTCAATTTCCGGGTCGCGCAAAGTATTATTCGATTTTTTTAAAATTCTCAGTAATAGCACTGAGTCTGGAATTGTGCCCGGTATATGGCAATAGGCTCACCCTATTACATGAGACTCATAACATAAATAATGAAAAGTGGGTGTTACATTGTACAATGGCATAATGTGCACCTGTGCCTACCCCTTCGGGGATAAAAGGGGTGATGTTATGTTATTTTATGTGTTATTTATTTACTCTCAGTCCGCTCTACAAAGAAGAACAAGAGATTCAATCAAGAAGGATAGTAGCCCTACTGTCATACGTACTGGAAACTTCAGCAGGGGTGCACTGGTTCTTCAAACATGAACAGTTGAGAGACGAGGGTACACAGAAGACAGGACAGTTTGTCGATGTTATCTATAGGATATGTGCGCTACTTGATAATGCTGTGAGTAAAATTATTTAATTTATATGTTTTATGCTCTTCCTTTATCTTATATACAAAAATTGGATATTTAGAAATATACAGCATCTCGTTATCTCACGCCAATAGATTTTCAACTTTATGACTTTGTGTCAGAACTGATGTCATAATCTTAGAAAGTACATATCATCATCATTATCATCAGCCTGTATTTGTCCACTGCTGGACATAGGCCTCTGCAATGGCACGCCACTGAACTCGGTCTTCAGCTCTTCTCATACAACCACTGCCTACCTTGCGGATGTCGTCACTCCACCTAGGAATATAACAGTAAAAAGTACATATAACTCGGAAAAAATCACATTGGTACTTGCTGTTGGTAGGTTTCTAACCCGCACCCTCATGCATGAGAAGCGGGCGTCTTAGACTTCCAAGCCATTATCCTAATTCATATTTAAATTAAATTGCATTAAATAAAATACAAACCCTTTAACTTTCCAGTCATGCGCAACACTATACAGCGGACTTCTACTAGCAATAACCAATGTACTACAAGTTCTAACATCGTCTGACATCAGCAAGACGAAAGTTTTAGACATTATAAAGATTATACTGACGTCCAGGCCACTACCGTTTGTGGTGACACATGTACTAAGCTTGTTGAGCATGGTGGCCTTATGGGACGATTTTACGAAGACTTTCTGCCCTGGTAATGGTATGGGGAATCTAAAGACTGACTACGATCAAGGTGTTTTGCTGTATAAGAAAGGTAAGGTTTTAAGGACTATTACTAGTCATTGTTTAGTCAGTTTAGGCAAAATTGCAATTATTTTATCATCATCATCATCACGCTTTTTACCCCTGAAGGAGTAGGCAGAGGTGTACATTTCGGCACTTACAATGTAACACTCACTTTAAACTACATATTTATGTTATGAGTCCCATATACTAGGGGGTGAGCCTATTATTATAGAGGTATATAGGGCACAAGTCCAGATCTCATCTCATCAGTCCCAGAAGTACCACAGTGATACTTCTTTCTCTTGAAGTATTTAAAAAACCCAATAATACTTTGCCCTACCCGGGAATCCAACCCGAGACCCCTTGTCCGGCAGGCGCACTTGTGACCACTTGGCCAATAAGCCAATATTTGACTGATTCTATAATTATGTATATTATGCTATAAGGATAAGCCCGAGGATACATCTAACCATATGGTTCAGAGTGAGATTCTATGCTATGAGTGAGATAGACAATTTAAAAATGGAAAATATCAGTCAGCATAAACATTTCTGATTTAGTGCAACTCTTTGTGTGATCCACAAATTGTTGGTTTGGGTCTGGTGTATGTGAACTTGTATATTTGTAAACGCTCCCACGACACAGAAGAAAATATTAATGTGGGTCAACTTTAATAGAAAAGAAAACAGTTTAAAATACCATGTAATCTATTAAAACACTTTCTTTATTATTCTTTATAATTAAAACAAAAAAAAATCGTCGTGTGAGTGAGATTACCGGAGGCCCTCCCCCCTTCCCCAATCTCCCCAATCCCCGAATCCCCAACAATCCTCAAACTCCTAATCCCCAAAAGGCCGGTAACGCACTTGTAACGCTTCTGGTGTTCCAGGTGTCCATGGGCGACGCCGATTGCTTACCATCAGGTGATCCGTATGCTCGTCTACGGCATATGACACAAAACATGTAACACAATTTCTAATGATTTCTTCTACTCATTTTACAGACTCATGTTTCATCCAAGTACTTCTAAAACAAATAGAGATGTGTCTGAAATGTATGGAGAGACAGAAGCTGGCGGACAGAGTGGTGGACGCCGCACAGAACTTGATCATGCTCTACACTCAGGGCACTGATACTACCACGTGCAGCTTCGCAAGAGGGAACTCCAGGTGAGATTAAAATTATTCATTTCTAATTTAAAGTATATATTTATTCTTTCTACTGCGTCGTTGGCCGAGTGGTCGCAAGTGTGACTGCTGGGCAAGAGATCTTGGGTTGGATTCCCGGGTCGAGCAAAGTATTACTGGGTTTTTAAAAAATTCTCAATAGCAGCACGGAGTCTGGAATTGTAATATATGATAATAGGCTCACTCCCTATTACATGGGACTCATAATATAAATTGTGAAAAGTAGGTGTTACTTTGTACATAGGCTTTAAGTGCCGTAATGTGCATTTCTGTCTAACTCTTCAGGGATAAAAGGCGTGATGTTCTGATGATGATGATGTTGATGATTCTTCTTTCTATTCAATTATAGGCGAAATAGTGGTCTGACGTCATCAAAAAAAAATAATTCAAAATAAAATTAATAAATGCCAGATTTTTTCCAATTCCTACATGCATGCATGTTGCAGCACTTGTCACTTAGTAGCATATGTGTTGGAATACATACATAACTTTACGCCTGTCTCCCATGGGGGTAGGCAAAGACTATGGAATTTGGATGTTGCAAAATTAACATGCTCATTTCGGGCATGCTTGCGAATCGACAGGATGTTTGAATATTTTAGAGCATGCTCATTACAAAGCCTTTCAGCGTGCTATTTTAGAGCATGTGTATTGTGTAACAGTGCCTTTAAGCATCGATTTTCTTTCTAAAATTTTATTGTTATGTGTGATTTATTTCATGCATGTGGTATTTTTGAAGTAAAACGAATAAACATGAATAATGAAAGTGAAGGCAGATTTTATCTACTTCCTACAAATATTGTAGTGTATGTTTCTTTGTTGCTGTTTTACGAAACTGCTGAACTTTTTTATATTGTACCCGCGCGGTTTCACCATCTGCCCGGCTGCTATTGCGATCAATGCGACGCTTCGATAAGTGTAATGTTTTATAGCCAGCCTTCTTCGATGAATGGACTCCAACACAAACAGAATTACTCAATTCGATCTAGTAATTCCGGAGATTAGCGCATTCATACGAACTCTTAAGTTTCATATATTAAGTACATAAACATAATATAACATCACGCCTTTTATCTCCGAAGGGATAGGCAGAGGTGCACACAGAAGTAACACCCACTTTTCACTATTTATTTTATGACTTATGAGTCCCATGTAATAGGGGGGTAAGCCTATTGTCATATACTGGGCATAATTCCAGACTCCGATTTTTTTTAAAACCCGGTTACACTTTGCCCGTCCCGGGAACCGAACCCGAGACCCCTCGTATGGCAGTCGCACTTTCGACCACTCGGCCCTTCTTCTCCTTCTCTCTCTATTAAGTACCTATAATATGTAGATAATAATAATGTGCTACATGAAACATTTTACATTCCAGGTGCGACTGCCAGCTAGTACTGGTACAGGTGATAGTGTACGCTCTACGCATATGTGCTGTGATGTTACATAGTTTAAGAAATAATTCTATAGGTGAGTCCATTTCAAATACCACATAAATTCTTTCTCTGTAAGTTTTAAAGCATTTTATTTATCCAACGGATAGTTGGATAATATCCAATTAATTGTGTAAATACATATTATGTATTTACACAATTTCATATATTAAGTACACACAAATACATATTATGTATTTACACAATTAGCTGTGCCCGTGACTTCGTCCGCGTGGAATAGTGGTTCACAGGTCCTCCCCGAAAGAGATAACATAATATATATGTATAGCGCCTATATCCTATATGTTAGTAATACTCATATAAAATTTGAATTAAATCCATGCAGTACTTTTTGATTTTAGCCCGGACATACATAAACATAACATAACATCACGCCTTTTATCCCCGAAGGGGTAGGCAGAGGTGCACATAGAAGTAACACCCACTTTTCACTATTTATGTTATGAGTCCCATGTAATAGGGGGTGATACATATAGACAAAAATTCTAAATACCATATTTTTGGATTCAGTGTCGATTGTAGATCATGCCCGAAGCATTGTTTTAAAAAATATTCAATGTACCGTTTTCACTTTCCTACGATTTTATTATATGTAATTTATAATCTCAACGCTTTTTGCAATAAAATGTGGCGTGTTCCAATATTAAACACAAACCATGCTATAAAAAGTAATAACTACTTTCTGCTATATAGTTTTAGATTACAGGTATCGACCCTGACACCTTTACGCGACAATCGATAATCACAATCGCAATTTATATGAGTTTTTACAACTCGTAATTTTTATTTTCATAATAACATTTCTAAGAGAAATTATAAATGGAACGTTTAACCTTTTGAACGCCAGAGCAAAAACGCATGAACTTGCCCTCAACGCCAGGCCACAAATTCACCGCAAATACCTACGAAAAAAATAGGGATTCCAAAACTTCATCGATAATCAATTTTATTTTCATTTTCGTCTTTAATTTCTAAATATAATGTCCTTATAACATTGAAATTTAATTCAACATTACATTTCTTCCTATTAAAGTAATAGTTATACACTATTTACAGACTTGTATAATACCGTAATAACAGATATGAGACTACAATATATTTAAATATAATAACTGTAAGTACAACACTATTCTTGATCTGCTGTCTTCATATTGTGACCATGGCGTGGACGGCCCGCCATTTTAATAACTACTTCGCTTCCGAAATAAGGATGTGGCAACGTAATATCTCGTTTATCGATGTTCTAGTACAATATTATTTTGTAATAAATGAAACACGTTTTTTAAATCAGATTTATAATTCCGAATGTAACAGGTACTTAAAAATATATAATTGAAATAGGTTAAGAAGGTAAATAAAAACTATGAAAAAATAGAAAATTTTAATAAAATGTTATACAGTATGTAGGTACTATGTATACATGTTTTTAAATATTAAGTTCTATAAACCTGGCATAAAAAGTAACAAATTAAAACAATTAACGATTATATATAATTATCACAATTACCAATCAGTCTTATACTAATAAATCTTTTGAATAATAGAACAAAATTATACAAAAACTACAATGCAACCTGCATTCTGATCATCTAATTCGCTGGGTGCAAAGTGGGTGGTGGGGACAGTGAAATCGATCTCAGCGCGCACCGTGGCTAAAAAAGGAACTTTTGGCAGACTTTATTCCACGAAGTTATAGGTAAATATGGAGCCCACACTTAGAATAAAAGTTTCGAGTCAAATATTAATATATTCTTCGTCATCTGAGACTCCTTCTAATATGCGAAGAAGTTCTTCCGTAGTCATTAAATTCCCACTCATTATAATAGTCACTTAATATAAATCTTGAACTCGATATCACAAGTAAATTAATCATAAATATTAGACATTCACTTCACTAATTTCTGGTCGCCGCGCTTGTGACGTCACGATATTGTCGTCTAGTCGTGACCATGGCGTACAGGGTACTGATAATTCGGGTTGCGTTAGGGATGCGCTTGAGTTGGGATTAGTGAATATCGAAATTCGACCCAACCAAATTTTATTTTTGACTATGTAGCTTATTGAATGATTTTTAAGACTGGTTTTATAAAATTAATGCTGCTTTATCCTAGTACCAAATTATACCTAAAAAAATATTATTCCAGAGGAAAGTTCGAATCGATCTTTGATTTGAAATAATGATATTATCCAACATGCGCTACATCACTAGCGGTCACGCAGTTATGACTCTGGCGTGTGAGGACATTCTTTTTTCAGAGTTTATTTCTTTCTTTTTAACGTGAAATTTCTCAATATTTATAATGCAATTTAATTAGTTTTATGGAAATAAATAAATTTTGGACCTTCTATTTTACAGGTATATAAATAAATAGGCATTAAAGTAATGTTTAAATAGTTTATTTCGTGTTTTAATGTACCGCTGTTTTTGTCACATATTTGTGTCGTTGGCGCTCAGGGACAGTTTTCGCTTGTCACGTATTTGTGACCCTGGCGCTCAAAAGGTTAATAATATTTTTAAATAATATTCCTTTTTTTCTTTTGAATATAACATAACATCATACCTTTTATTCCCGTAAGGGTTTTTTAGTAGTAGGTATTTAAAAATGAAATTTATAGAAGATTTGAAATAAATAAGTAGATGAAAATCAAATGTTCTTATATTTTACAGACGATAGTAGCGAGGATCTAGTCTCGGTGTGTCGGTGTGGGATACAGTTGTTATACCAGTGTGCAGTAAGGGATGTGGAGTTCAGTGCCCAGCTCGCGCACAATGAGGGACATCTCATCGAGTTCTGTGAACTCATGAGGAGTTTTGATCATAGTGAAGCATATGGTAAGTGAAACTTTATTGTACTCTTAGAATGTCTCGAACTGGAAGGTGTAAAACAAAATCAGTATATATATCATAACAATTACTGAATAATAATAGAATTAAATATAGCAGAGCACAGGTTCAATGCCCGGGTGTGTGAAAGTGTAATTTTTGTCTTTGAAAAAATTAATTACCTCTGAAGAGTGCGCTCTTCAGAGATAATTAATTAATTTTCATTTACACATTCACTATTATATTTTTATATATACACTTCTATATGCGTACCTCTTCAGAGTATTGGCGTGATGTATTTTGTTTTAGTTTTTTTAAGAGCCATTTTCTTAAAATTGCATATTTTTTCAGCCAACATGCTGTCAGAGCTCGCCAGCACCCTTCAGTCGACTCCAGAAGATATGCCGCCATCATTCCATAAACAACCTTGGCTGAAGAGCTTCGAATCCTTCTCTTTGGTCGACTAACTTTATTATTATTGCCAAGAGATTTTTACGTCAAGTAAAAACTATATTTTTATAATAAAATGTAAATATTGTATATAACACAAATGATTTTCTGATTCTTTATGTGATTACTAAGGAAGAAAATACATTAATTATTTATTTAAAACATTTATTCGTTTATTTTATAAATATAAGACTTTTTACATTAGGAATGTGAAAATGAAGTACATAATGTATTATATTATAATTAATTTAACAAATTATAATATTTATATCTAAATACGTGACTTAGCTTGACACAACAGACGATGTTGGTTTTTTATTTCGCATATAAATCGTGCACCTAAATGGCAAGGAAATAATTTGACAATGTTAATCTTCTAAAATCCTAGTTACCATTGATTTATTTTACACAGTTTAGATCGAATAACAATGATATAATTTAAAGCAATTTTTATACCTGTGTGCGTCAAAAATACATTGAAACTCATCACTTACTTGAAGTAGCTTTAGTATCTTATATAAAATAACGTGAAATAGTAAATATATCACTGTTCAATACTATAATAAGATGGCATAACGTAAGCGGGATGATAATTTCATCCCCATCACAAATTCCTGCCTACCTATAGTATAAATAAATGAACTACTTGGGTCAAAATCTGTATGCACCATGATCTAAAACGATTTTGTAAATAGCACAACGAAATTGTACTTAGCATTATCAAAAAGTCAAGTATAAACTATGTCAACTGATCCTAAAAGTGTGACAATAGAGAATACAGATTTTGCCCCAATATAAAAAAAATAAACTACATAAATACAATTCCATTAGGGCTTCACAGTCGTAACAATAGTATCATCAGCCGTGTTAGGTTGATGGAAGAAGTACAACATAAAACCAGCTGCTAAAAGGAAATGAAAAGCGAGAATAGACCCAATTAGAATTAGGAAATATCGAGATTTTCTTAGTGCTGGCATTAGCCAGAATATGAGGACGGCTCCGGAGACAAAAGCTGCCATCAGAACGAACAGCCATTGCAGCCAAAACACTTGGATTGTCCATAGTACTGCCACGGGTATGTAAATGGAGAGTGAGTATCCGTATAAGCAGAACAATGACATCATTGTCGGTGACTTTGCATCCTGGAAAAACAGTTCATGTCAATTGTATATTATTTTCTAGGCTTTTTTTTGAAGCTTTTTCGTTTAGGATCACTTCTGAAAGGATTTTGTACATTTCCCTGCTTGTTTAAATATTTAACACAATGGATGCCGTGTCGGACAATGATGACCGACAGCCAGCCAGCGCCAGCGGAGGATTAGCCTTCAACATTTTTTGTCGACACGAAGGCCTACAAAGGATTAACTATAACCACAAGAATGACTTCAAAGTATTATTACCTTCTGAATAATTGAACATAACATAACATCACGCCTTTTATCCCTGAAGGGTAGGCAGAGGTGCACATTACTGAACTTACTGTCACTGGACAATGTTACACCCACTTTACACTATTTATGTTATGAGCCCCATATAATAGGGGGTGAGTCAATTGCCATATACCGGGCACAATTCCAGAACTGAGAATTTTTTTAAAACCCAGTTGTACTTTGCCCGACCCGGGAATCGAACCCGAGACCCCTTGCCCGGCAGTCGCTCTTGCGACTGCTCGACCAACGAGGCAGTCTAATTAATTTATAGCATAAATTATATTACATAGTATAGTTTTTACCTGATTCTCTATTTCATCATGTCCATCAGTAGTGGTGGTCCATTTCAACGCAGCCCAGAGAGCGAGTGGTACAATCCACACATAGCAGGTGATGGCTGTCGCAGCAATAGACACCAGGTGGAAGTCATAGCGCCATACAAATCCTTTCTTATTGGCATTGTGCAAGTAACTAGCTATGTTACCACTTACTGCTATTGTGAATATCTGGAATTATGTAGAGGTGACTTAGTATTCATGATATGGACAGGCACAAAAAAAAAACATGAATTTAATACTCCACACAATAATAAAAATGCTCAGTGCACACTAGTTAAAAACTTATAACAGTAAGGTGACAACCTTATTGCCAAACATCAAGTCAGCCAGATATTCTGCTATAACTGAGATTTTTAAATGAAAGATAAGGGCAATATAAAATTTTTAGAATAAAAAAATTGGAAATTTGTTTAAGTATGCTACTCAATTAGTATAAAACCACCTTTAGAAACTTAAACCATAGCCTTTTGGGTAACAGAAACAGCATCATAATTATGTATACCACCTACCAGGGTGACAGAAATCCAAATAGGTCCATACAGATCTGGTTTTCCCTTGATCCTTTCATCGAAGTAGTTGCGAGAAACCTTTTGTGGTAGTACAGAAGATATAATCCGCTCAACCACTTCATTTGTGTGTACATCAAAATATTTCTGATAGTATTCTATAGTCCAGAAGTTGTGGTTTGCTGTAAATAAAAATAAATAAGAAGTACATGAAAGTAGTATGTAGACTTAACTTTTAAAAGGAAGTTACGATATGAATCATCCTGATAAGATAACAAAGTTTAGAAGGTTTGGGTTTACTATGACTAACACAGTAAAATTAGTAATTTGACAGTTTCTGTTAATTGAGTTGATTGTACCCTTGATGAGTGATAAATAATATTCTTACTTATGTCTTAATTCTGATAATACTCAAGGAACAAAAATGTTTCTTACATATTAAATAGCTGAACTAATACTAATGCAATGATTATAATCTAAATTAAGGTTTTAATAATACATATAGATACGTAAACCAGCCCCAATTGATTAGCAATGAAATTACTGTGAAATAACGTTTCGAAATCTAGTAATTTAAGAAACAGGAGTGTATATTAAGCATTAGATTAAAAAAGTTACTTACTTTGAGGAGCAGCCTCCGGTTCTTCAATCGGCTTGGGTTCATCAAAACTATAGTTTGGATTTGACATAGTGTTGTTGTATTGATTTGTGTGTACTGCTTCCACGTCAATACGGGCACTTCGATTATTATGCTCAGGAGAATAGTCCTGAAAGTCCAACAGTTCACCTGTGTTCACGTTCGCCATAATTATTTACTTCATAAACAGGGAAGTAATAAAATACGAAATTTTATTTAGTTTTTAACTGAAAGTGACAGATTCACACTCAGCCAGCAAATAACCAACTGGACGATAAAACTGTCACTGTCATTATTTTACACTAACGTCATTTCATTGGGATTAATAATATTCTCGATAGGCATAGCTATTTTGATTTATTATTGTGTTATGAAAGAAAATATTTAATAAAATGAATAATAAATATGAGAACCGGTTGAGACGTAGTGTACGGGTACCAGGTTGCCACAGGTTGCTACGATACTAGCGACCTCAATTTCAAAGCTGTACCATAAAACTTAAACGAAAAAGTATCAATAATATCATAGCTGGTATAGAATAAACATTTTTATCTTTTTGTATCCTACGTTGTATATATTTATTAATTTATTTGTTTAATTTAGAATTCGTTCAATAATAAAGTTCCAAAAAATTTGTAACTTACAAAAAATAATTTAATATTTCATTTAGTACATACAACATACATACACCCAGTTGTACGTACAACATACAGCTGTGGCTGTGGTACAACTGGGTTCAACATTTCGTACAACGCTAAATACCGTCTCAAGTCTTTTAGCATTGTCGTATAGGTAATTTTCATGCACGTAGTTTAAAAACAAATATATATTCTATTGAATCGAATGAATTTAATTGTTTATTCGCTACTCAGCAAGTGAGTCACGGGTTGGATCCTTGGATGAAATAAAGACATCCATTGAATAAATTAAATTGGTTATCAGCAGCATTATTATTTTTTTAGTCAAAATATAATTATTATTTTGTGCTTAAAAAGATTTTTTACGGTCATGGCTATGCTAATCCCTGCTTGCCCACCTATATCTAATGTTCTCATCCACTTTGAACTCGCCCGCGCCGCGCTTGCGTACATCGTTTGACTATTGTCTATGGCTTGTGGCCAGGGAAGAAGGAAGGGGAAATCGACCAACGCCATTTTGTTTTCAACAAGACGTTGTATGTAACGTCAAGTCGATACTAAAAATTCAGTCCGTGTTTTTGCGTCGCGCCGTGGAGAACTACTTTATTATACGCGATTTAGACACGATAAATGTATTCTTCATCTTGAACGCGAGTTGATTGCTACAATAAAGTGTACATATCAAAGACAGTGCTTTTGTAATTTGTGATAACGTAAGTTCACTACGTGTTCATTTCTGAAATCTCGCCATATTGGCTAACCACGTAACAGAGTAATTTCTAAACTTGTTATTTCGTTAATTACAGTGATGTTCAGTTGAAGATTTACTTGGCATGGTGATTTCTACGACTACGGTCGTCGATCAAGATGTCCAAGGAAGTAGCGGAAGAGTATGCTTCCAGTTTAGCGGACCTAACCGTCAACAGCAAGCCGCTGATAAATATGTTGACGATTCTCGCAGAAGAGAACATCGACCACGCTGGGGTTATCGTTGAAACAGTGGAGAAGCATTTAGAGAAGGTGAATTTCAATTTTTAAAATTAACGCGTGTGAGGTGCATCGGAATTAAATGCCACACGGTCACGTGAGAGCTAGGGAATAATGGAAAGTGTTGTCAAATATTGAATTGATGACGCGCGCTACTCGTTGCGTGCTTTTCGTGTTTACTATGACTAGTGTGACTAATTCGACCTCGTTGTAACCAGTCGAAACGGTAACAGGTATCTCCTACAATATGTTCCTATTTCACAATATTACTGATAACAATATGACAGCATTGGCTATAATTACTTTCTGTAGTGTTAGTTGTTTCAATTCTGTACAAACTGTTAAGAAACTTGTTTAAAACCATACACTTTTCAGAGTTTATGTTAGCATACTTAGCATGATTAAAACCACGAATTCATTTGATTACTTCCATTATTGATTTCAACTGTTTCAATATTGCTATGTATTACGTCATTACCTTATTTGTTTTTTTTAAGTTGTATGGTAATTAATTTTTATCAGCCCAGTATAATTTAGTTATCTACTTAAAATTGTTGTTTAAACCTAAATGCAAAGATAGATAATCTATTGACATAATGAATATATCAAACAAGTCTTACAACAATCAAAACTAGTCAGTACTAATTTGGTAAAATTGCCAAAGTATTACACTCACCCAATTCCTAGTAATGTTGGCTTAAGTCCATAAAACTAAATGTTATTAAAATACGTTGGAAACAATTTGTCACAATATATGAAACACTAATCTACAATCAATAGCAATAATGTTATCATGTTGAAACTACAATATACAATTAGGAGATACCTGTAGCAAAAGATAACATATCAGCCTTCGAGGGTATGTAAAACTTATCTTTTCAGTTGTATATCCAAGACATTGTTCACAATAAAGCTTTTTGAAACTGAATTCTTATTTATTTTTCACATTTTAACAATTAAAAAGGTTGATAAAGCAAATTCTTGTCTTATTCTATCCTGTACCAATTATAACGGTTGGGTGCAAAGCAAACCTTTGCAAGACGAGGTCAAGTTTGTACTTGGCTAGCCTGGGGTTTGGGACTAGAAGTTATTTTTCCTCTACACAGGTACACCCAGACATCAAGCTGCCAGTACTGTATTTAGTTGATTCGATTATCAAGAATGTCGGTGGAGCCTACACACAGAAGTTTTCTCAAAGCATTGTCAATATGTTTACCAGGACTTTCAAACAGGTAATTATTGTGAGTTTATTGTTCAATATTATGTTTTTAAATTTATTTCTTAATAAACTGGCAAATTCTAACATAATTTGTTTCTACAGGTGGATGAGAAAGTCAGGTCTCAAATGTTTAAGCTTCGTGAGACTTGGCACGATGTGTTTCCTGCTACGAAGCTGTACCAACTGGATGTGAAAGTGAACTTGATTGACCCAGCGTGGCCGATACAAGCACAGCCGCAGCAGTCAAACATCCATGTAAATCCAAATTTTCTGAAAAAGGTGTTTTTTTAGTTGATTATTGTTTTGACATTGATTTAGTTAAATATGCCGTAGGTGGGCTTCTGGGTCTTTTTATATAATGCTATTTTCCATGCATATATCATGTTAGCTGTAACCCCTGCTGTATTTTATCATTTTGCAAGTAGCCTGGGATATCGCTTGATTATGCTGACCCTGCATCATTTCATAAAAGTAACTTTATGCATACTTAGTTTTCATTTAAAATTTACACCTTTGGGAGGTGTTCATTTTAGAAATGGGGTGTTGCATACTTACAAATTGGGAAATTCTTGATAAAATATTAATCTTTTGATAAAGCCTAACAGTATGCATTTCTAACAACTATTTCTTTCAACAGACTACGGCTACCACCAGCACTACAATCACTCCAGCTCCCGTCGTCCCTGCTGAAGAGGACGAGAAGATGAGGAATATCCTCGCCAAGAAAGAACAAGAGCTCCTCATGCTACAGAGGAAGAAGGTGGAGATGGAACTGGAACAGATGCGGCGACAGGTCGAGCTTGCAGAGAAAACTGTTACTAAAAAGGTAAGAATTTTTATAATTCATTCTGATTTTCGATCCTTTTTGGTCGAATTTCAGATTTTTTTCAGATTTTTTTACTTTTACTCTATAGTAGGTATATAGATTAATCGTCCGCTCGCCCTGACAAGGGGTTATACGTTTAGATAATTGATTTCTTAAATCAAATAAAGTAGTGTAGGCTTGATAAGCTTCAATATCTGTATAGACTGTTGACCACAACATCACAAAAATCTTTCAATTCAGATCTCATTATTAATTGTTCCTATCGAGTTCGGTCATTAATTTGGGACGTTAACGATTGTAAATGTTTCGTCGATCGGTCGCGTTACGAAATCGAGAGAGGGCCATGATTTCGTACGATTCCGTTTACCTGACTTTCTTAGGGAATTAACAGTTTCTTTTTCTGGAATCCTAATTTAGTCTATCGAATGTTGCACCTGTACTTTGCATACATTTTAAAGATGCATTTTTTATGCAATTATTATGTTTGCAATTCGCCCATATCTACATTATCATAGTTCTTGCGGCTTCTAATAGTTTCTGTACCTACTAATATTTTTGAACTATAATTATACTCCTTTCTTGGTTTTAGTGAAGACAAAAGCAGGATTTAAAACATTCTTTAACACAATAATGTTTCAAGTACCAAACAATACATTTTTGTCTAGCCTATTCTACTAGTGAACTGTTACCTAAATGTTTAAATACCACATGTACACAAAGGTTAAGAAGAAAAGGTAGTAAAGAAAGTAAAAAGTAATTTATTACAAGCTTTTAAAGATTTTAAAATGTACTCAAAGCACATAAAACAATGCATAATATTATCCTATCGCTAATCCTTTGTCCTTTTGTTTAAACAGTTTAAGTTAAATTACTAGTTTTGAAAAATGTCCCATTGTTCTATTTCTTTCTGTTTCTTATTATGTGTTAAATCGTTTCTTTAGATTTGTTTAACATAACACTAGACCTTAATACATCGAATTTAGAAGGCAGTGAAGCGAATAGTATACGTAGCACAGATATACGCGTAGAACAAACAAACACACTCTTCAGCTTTATATATTAGTAAAGACAATAGATATCGCGTGTTATCGTAGTTAATTTCTTATTTTAAACCCAAACTATTAATTAGTTTATTACTCATTAATGTTTAATGACGTTCATTTCTTTATTATTCCAGTTTCTATATTAATTACGGTTATTAACTGATTACTAACATTAAACTTATGCATTTCATTAGTTACTATGTCAGCAATGATAGTTTGTAAATAGGTTGTCTCATAGCGGAAAATTAAAAAGATGACGAAGACATTGTTTGTAATTAACTCTAGATCAAGGCATTAAATCCTTTCTCCCTGGTTTTGATCTGGTCTACAAGGGAAATATTAGTATTACTAGTTTTAGTAAATTCACGCGGATACAGTAACAGTAAATAACACAAATATCTCGGTATTTTAAAATCACCATGTTTTAGAAATACAGACAATACAATAGGTACATTATTTTAAAAGAAACAATGCACCCGTATTGTCGGAATTTACTAAAATCGTTATCATATTTTGCGAACTACTTTTACAATTGTGAATACACTCTAATCCTTTAACGAGTTTCAAGTTTGTGAAACAAAACCTTAGTAGCTTTGCTTATCAATGTGTTGAACAATGATCCTTAGTCAATAATGGTTGCTATAGAAATTCGTTTCGTGGTATTTTTAGACCTAATTACGAATTTTAGACGGAAAAGTATTAACCCAGGTACCTGCACTAGACTCTATTGTTCATGTCCAGACTAAAACATAATTCTATTTCTATGCCAAATATTTAGATCCGCTCAGTAGTTTTTACTTGAAAGAGTAACAATCAAACATGCTATTTGGCCGTAAATCCTCACAAACTTGCATTTGATAATAATGTATTAGTAGAAAGCTAGGAAATACCTATGATTTATTAGTCATTTAACTATAGTTAGCTTCGGAGCTCTTCGATTTATAGCGAAGTTTTATTGACTACATAATACTAAGGCGTTTGAGGTAGTGGTAAACATGTATGTAGAATTATGTACAGGAAGTTTTCTATAATCATTAGATGCGCTATACTACGATTAGATCGTAATTGTCATGACATCACTACAGCTATACTAACGGCCTCGACAATCTAGAATTGGAAACGCGAACTCGATGATATCACTCTAATAGCGCATTATTTTATATTTACCTACTATAAGGGCACTTAGCATTGATATAACTATGTTAGAATATTGACATTAATCTTCAAAATTGTTATCATATTACGTTGGGTGAAGTAGAGTTACTTTATAGCGAAGCATTTAAACAAGTGGTTTAAAAGGTTAATAGGTTAAGGTTATCGTATTAATATATAAACCTTATTTGCGTCTGTAGTCTGTAAACGCACCCACGGCAAAACATCCGCGAAAGGAAAAGTTAAAAAATGATTAGCACATGATGCAATGCCTACGATTAGGACAAGTCCGTCGACAGTAGGACAAGTCCGTTCTTTATCATAAAGTCTTTACATTTTATTTGCATATCTCTAAAATAATTATGTTTATTCTTAGAGTAGATATTCAAATAGTAAATGCTAAACTCTCCATCCGCAACGTGGATAGAAGACCTGATTAAGGTCGCAGGGAGCTGCTGGATGCAGGTGGCTTCCAACCGGCCTACCCGGAAGTCATTGGGGGAGGCCTTTATTCAGCAGTGGACGTCTTGTGGCTGATATGATGATGATGATGATGATGATGATGTAGGCTCTATTATTCTAGTTTAAAACTAACTTCTATCAATCTTAAACTTTGTAGGCGCGGTTGCGAAATGTATCTGCTTCGTATGTACCTAGAATCTAGGTATACTCTTTACACACGATTACGTGCATGACCTAGTATGTTTAAAACTAAATGTATTGCATCATACGGTTTTTAGATTTATTGAAATAGGTACTAATATAAGAACTACGGAATAACGTATTAATAGTGATATGCGTAAATGATTCACTCTGGGGAAAACCGAGGACGAGTTGAAAGGTTATCTGGATAGAGTTCATCAGCTCAATGGTAGCTCTTTAACTTAATAATATTTTTATGTGTATACTTTGATATCGCGTAATTACGTAGGAATGGGTTAAACATTATACTGACTGCTTAAATTGGGAGACCACTAATACACCGTAGTAATTACACAGGACTTAAGGACATAGGGATTTATGTTAGTAAACGTTTCGGTCATGTAAAGACCAGAAAGACACAATAAAGAGGAAAAACTGGAACAACTTATTTTCAATAATGTATAGCTGTTCAAATAATTACAATAAAATATAATTATATTTCTACTATTATTGGTTTATTTATAGACAGTAATATAATTTACAAGGAAATACATATAGACCACATACATAAATGTTACATTAAATAAATTTTATATATTCGTAGTTTACTCTTACAATAATATGGAAATGGATGACCATTACCTCTACCACCCTAAAAAAGAACGCTACGTGATTTTATAACTCTTTTTCTTTTTATTCATTCTAAAACTACTATTTCTCGCTTTGGTCCACATTCACAGAAGTATACAAAAAAATACGCTAAAATTAAAAAGAGTTAATAAAAAAGTCAATATCACATTAACATATTCTCAGAACTTGTAAGTTATAGACCTATAAGTAAATAAATCAATATTTTAATTTCAATCGAATTCTCTCAAATGTTGCGAGTTTGTGTATTAAAACTAGTTGCTCTCAGTTTAACATTAAACTTCGAACTATACATGTTACTGCACAGAGGTATATGTAGGATCTTGTAGTTTTTTCATATCGCGAACCGTCTTTTAACTTCTGCAGATGTTCAGGCACTACTGAGTTGTACAAGCTACCCACCGTAACCACCATGATCGAAATCGGTTAGTTTTTAGAACAGTAGTTCCCAAAGTTGTCTGGACTACGACCTACCTAAATGAAGTTCCCAAACTCCGAACTCACCTTCAGGGCATTAAACCGTTACCAGTATGAGAAATAAAATACAGAATGGTTGATTAGTACTTCATTCTACAGACAAGGCCCAATAAGAATTCGCTTGCGATAGCGACCTACCAATATGTCAAGGCATAGTTTGGTTTAATACATGTAGTTTCCTCAAAGATCATTCAATGTGCAAAAGCCTCAGGATTACACAAACAGATGAATTATCTTTAAAAAAACTTACATTATGATTGTACTGATTGATAAAAGGTATTGTCCAATGTCTTCATGTGTACGTGACCCCGGTTTTTATCGGCCTACGTGTGGTCAGATGTAATTTACCAGGAAATGTTAAAAGTACCTTAGCACGTTAAATGATAAACAACTAGTTGATATCTCGTTTTGAAAGTTGTCGTGACAAAATGTTGATCTTAACCAATTCTGGTTGCATAACGCTACGAAATATATTCAGATAGTGATTGGCGTGATTTAGCTTGCTGTTCATGGCTTTGTCTCAGTACTCGTTTTATAATAGGGTTTTCCATAATTTTGGGAACTGATACAAACTTATACAAACTTATAGTCTGAAACCCCAAATAGCACGGTTGCATTTTCTTATCACTCTTTTCATTAAACCTGTTTTATATAGTGGTCTAGTGGTGGGAACATAAAATAACTCGTGTACGACCTCGTATGCTAAACTAAAAGTAAATAATGATAAAAACTAACTAGGTGGTAGGTACGTTTGAAAAGGCTTCAAAAACAAAAATCTATGACTATACCTTCCAACTTCCACGTAACACTTGTAACTGTTTTAATATATATTTAACAAAATATATGAAAAATAATGAGATGAATGTGTTCGGCTATATGTATAAATGTGTAGCGCCCTCCAAGCGGCTTAGGTTTAGATAAAGAGACGAGTGTAAAGTTCAGTTAGATATGGTTTATCATAGTTTTATTATAGTGTCAATAACTCATAAATATCGCGGAAATAGTTTATGGGTCGCAGTACTAATCGCAGCGTTGTTCCAGGTGCCGGGCACTGTCCCCACTAATGTAAACGCCGCCAATATGGCCGCGCCCACTTCTGCGCCTGCGGCCGCCGTGTTGCCTGAAGTGACAACCAATATACCCATCAAACAGCGACTCGGACCGGTAAGTTTTCAGTACACTTATGCTGTTGGTGCAATGTTCTTTTAGCATGTAGTATCGAATGTTGACATTATTTGGTTTTGTTTCAGCCGGTACCTAAGAGTACGGGTCGTATCGCACCCGTAAGCGCCTCCCTAGCGAGCGCCCGGCGCGACCCGCGACTGGCGCGCCTGCAGCAGACCGCCGGCACCGTCCCCGCCGCGGCCTCGCCGCCTGTCGCCGTCGTTGCGCCCGCCGCCGCGCCGCTCGCACCCATCGCGCCCAACGTCTTTGACATTAAACCCCTTGAACGCGTCACCAAACGGAAGAATGTCATAACTATAGACGTGCGGCAGGACGCCGAACCCGCCCGGCCTGCTACCAGGGACCCGCGCCGCCGCGACCCGCGTCTCGAGAAACGCGACCCGCGCCGTACTCGTCCGCGTGAGGAACGGGAACGGAGGCGCGAAGAACTGCGTCGAGCAGAGTCAGAACGCAACCATACTGATACTAAATCAGAAGCGGAGCGTAATCCGATGCCCGCTTATGTCGATAAGTTGCCTGATCCAAAGAAAATTAGTAAGATGCCACCTATACCTAAAATTACCCGGCCAGAAGCCAAACGAGACGGTGAAGCAGTGCCCGCCAAACGCAATAAGCGTGACAATGTGCGCACCGAGCGCAGACGGCGGCGCGAGGAGCTGGCCCAGAAGGAAGGCGAGCGCTCCAAGGCAGCGGCCGCGGTGCCAGCAGTGCCGCCTGCTGCGGACAAGAAGCGCGCGTCGCCGGAGCTGGTGGCGTTCAAGGAGTTGCGCAACTACCACAAGGAGCATTACATGCGTCGCAACCGCGACAAGTCAGCAAGTCCAGAGCACGTCGAGTCAGGCGCAGAAGGCGCCGTGACCTCCGAGCCCCCAAGTAAGATATACCTCTCTGTTGTGCGCGTCGCCCGCGCCCATGTGATATTAGATATAAGTCGAAGCGTGCAAACGCCTGTTGTGTGGAAAATAAAATGTTTTTTAACTCTTGGAGTATTCATATTGACGTTTTCAACAGCGCACTGTACCCTTCTCTAACAGACAGAACTCGCCGAGTTCTAACACCTAAATTATCTATTGACTATCGAGAGTAAATTTAGCCAAGCCTTTATTCGTTATTCGGTATTTATTGTTGCACTCTAAAAATTAATTCAATTCATTTATTATCTGCATTTAGTTTAAAGTATTTTATGAACTGAAACATTATTTTGGTCGAGTTACTTTGTCAACAGTTCGTGAATAAGCCAAATAATAAATAATTCATATTTTGAAGTATTTTGATGATTACGATATTTTGCAAGTCGTCAGACTAACTTTTAATTCATTATAAATATTAGTAACATTCAAAATTCAATGGCATACAATTATCTCGAAATACGATACAAAAATTAAACAAATGACAATGGACATTGAAAGTATTGGACAACAAACCTGGACCGACGGACTGAACATCACTTCATGAAGTCTAAGGACATCGGAGGACAGTGCAGCATTGGAAACTCCATCAACCGATTGAAAACAAGTAGTCCTTGTGTCCACCTGTGTGAAGTGATCTAAGCCGACCAGTCTGTTGTATTTTTGGAAAGTTTGTTGCTATAAGTGAAAAGTATCGTAAGTATACCCACCAAAGGTTTGCTATTATTTTAGTGTTGAGTGTTGGTCTATTAGATTTTTGTTTTGCGTTTAAACTTTTTTTTTACTAGTTTTTGGACTTGACATTTTTATTATTACTTTGAGAGCTAATGTCGCATACTTATGACAATTTTAAAGCAAGGTTTCCTTGTTTCTGTGTGACTTTCAATTATAATTCTCTTTATTCGTTTGTCAAGTTTCAATAATGATTTCGTTAAAACAATCAACCAAAATTATTGAAGCAATAATTCGTTTTTCGTAAGTAAATATTTATTTTTAAAGTAGATTTATTTTAGTGTGATTCTTAAAAACGTAGGAGATCTTTGCAGTTTGCATGTCATCACCATTCAGATAGATGTTGATGATCTAAAGTCATAATATAAGTAAAAGTTTTTGTTTGGATTTAAATATGGTAATCAAGTATTATGTTATAGATAATATTAAAGCTGTTGCGTGGATTTGATAAAGTGATTTTCTGTGCAATGCAGGCAGTGTGTTGTTACTGAGATATAGTTTTGGGTTCAATTTAGATGACCAAACAATAGAGTGATAGACATGATCTTAGCTTCTTGGGGATGTGTTCTCTTAACACGTTAAACGCCATGGGGGTCACCGGTGACCGGCGTTAGCGGAGGATTTACCTTCAACAGTTTTTTATTGGCAGTCAAAGTCTTAATCTGAATGTGGAAGAATGGAAAGCTTGTAGACGACAAAAAAAAGAATAGATTGTTGACATTCCTATTTTAAATTCCTTTAACAAACACAGCACGAAACAGCGAATAAATTTAAGTATGTATTTTAATTTGCGAATACATATATTTTGTTATTACTCGTTGGGTTCACTTAAACAGACGAAAGGGCCCCGCGACGCGGGGCTCCTTTGCCCTATTGACGATTATAAAAAAGGACATTAGCTTAACTTGCACAATAATTCCAGAAATCATTTGGTGATTATATTTTTAATTAGTTAAAAGGATAATAGTAGAAAAATGTTTGTTTGTGTGTAAATTATTCACGTGTGACCAGACATGAATACAGCTGAAGAAGATTATGATGTCATCGTCTTATGAATGCAACAGATCTTTATCAACTCTACATTTAATTAGCATCACTATGTTCTTACTTACCAACCTCAGTACAACGGTTCACGAAGAAGGATTTGGACATCTAAAACAAGGAAACTCCAACATTTTTGTCCTAGATGAGGAGTGACAAATAATTTTAACTTCTTTACATGTATATCTTAATTTTTTTTAATAAGATTTTTAGATAGATGTTGATTTAATCTAGGCTTCTGACTATTGTAGGGCCAGGTATTTAGTATTTACGTCGCATGACTAACTTTTACTCTCGGTCGTCAATGGATACTCTAATTCTTGTCATTTAAATTATTCTGAATATTTGATCGCAATCTGCAGTGTCTTGGAAGTAACTTTGTTGAGATTTTCTAGAATGTTTAATATTAGCTTTAGTAATAGTTCGTATGTAATTCATTTTAGTGATTTTAATGATGTGGCTAGCTTTTAATGTTGAATTGAACTGTTCAATCCGTTGTGTTGTAAAATAAATATTCTTTGTTTAGTACCTCCTGAAAAATTGTGGTTTATGAAAAATGTATTGTTTGTGTAGTTACCAAAATCGTGTAAGCAATGTTAGTCAAAATCTTATTCTTAACGTATAATTTTCCTGTTTATCTTAATTTTACTTGAATAACATTTAATTTAAGTTAATTATAGTCATTATTCACATTTAGTGGCTTGCGGCCATTTAAAATAATTAGGTATCTTAATTGTCATCACTTTTATCTGTAAGTAAAAATAAGCACAGAATTAATTGTAATTAAAACTATAAAAATCTCAACAAAGTTATTTACAAATCATACATTTTGCTTTCAAAATAATCAGTTGGAAATGTTGGTTAGTAATAAAAGCCAAAGTAATTATTGTCTTTAAAACTGGTTAGATAATAGCAATGCACATAGTGCCATAGTTTAATAAGTGAAAAATAAGACATGCAAAATGTCACAAGTGTTAAAAGTTGAAGAGATGTTGATGGTCTACTTACTTGGAGTTTTTGGACCCACACTCTGCTTCGCCAAGATGTCGCTAGAGGTAAAAGGGTTTACGGTAATGTAAACGGCCAAGATAGACTTTAAATACGTTTCGTTACAAAGGAGTCGTATATAAAGGAGAATCTTTTATTTCAGGTGTTCCAGAAATCATATCAGAAACTAAGGACATAGATCTTCGAGTATTACCTGCAGTAGTAACGGAGGCCAAAGCCGCTTCTATAGGACAGAAGCGATCTTCCACAGAGGCTGCGGAGGTTAAAACTAAGAAAACAAAAATTGATAAATTTGATGTGTAAGTATTAAGTGTTGCAACGACATTTTTCTTTAATATTATTTTATAACCTGCTCGTGTCATCATGTATTATTATATTATGGAATATTACAGGTTGTTTGGTAATGAGGATGTAGATTTACGCCAACTACCACAAGTGGATGAGGTGAATGCCCCGCCTCCACCTTCTATCACTGGTTCGCCGAAGTCCGACAACAAGGTCGAAGAAGATGTAGCAATGGTGTCACCAGCCAAAGGTTCACCGAAGAGGGATTGGAACGAGATTAAGAAGAGAGATGACAAGAAAACTCCCTCAAAACTCGACCTTGTACGAGCTAAGTTTGCCGAAGTAACGAAGGGCAAAGATAGGCTTGGCCGTCCTCTACTGTTCAGCAAATCGCCAAGTAAGTATTTTATTATAAATGACAATGTTTTATTTAATTTTAAAACACACCTGACACAGTCTTATTTAATGTTATTCGTTATAGGTATCGAAAGAGAAAGGCGACGTACTTTGTCTAGCGAAGATACTGATCTCAGGGAAGATGATGAACAAGGCTTCGTTGAAAACAAAAAATCTATTTCAATTATAATGTCTCAAGCAAAGGAACACTTCACAGATGGACAATTAGACAAGAACCAATACAACACTCTAATGTACCAAATTCTTCAACTTAATGAGAAACTCAAGCTGAAGGAGGCCAAACAGAGGGAGTCGTTGGAAATTTCCAAAAGGAAGCTCAAAGCTACAATAGAAGAAAACCATAAAGTACCAAGTCCAAAATCATCGCCTAATGATCGGAACAGATTTGGTGATATTGATGAGAGAATCACACCGTCTGTATACCTTGACACGCCGCCCGATAGCCAAGGAATGTTGGGTCAGGACTCGGATATGCGACTCGGTGCTGAAGCCCTTGATATGAAGACAAAAGGTTTGCTTCCCATCCCGCCCATGATGCCAATGTTTGGCCCTTATCAGCAACAAATGCCTTGGCGTGGACCAAGACCACGAGCAGGTGAAGAATTCGGACCTAGACGATTCCGAGGGCCAATGCCACCATACTTCCGAGCCGGCAAGTTTGATAAGAGGGCTGTTAGACCGCCTTTTGACCCTCGTATGGCAATACCTCCTCTACCTACACCCAAAATTGGTATGTGTCAAGGAGAGTGTCCGCTAACACCTTACGAACGAAGCGAATCTCCACCTCCATTAGGAGCTCCAGGCTTCGCAATCCCACCGACAGATTTTAAAATCATTGAGTATATAGATCAGGACCCCTTCAAAACCATCCAAATTGATGGTATACCTCGGGAAATCAGGTTTTACGGTAACACCGCCGTAATTATGCTGGATTGGGATGATCCAAGGGAAATCAAGTTCCTTCCTGGATGCAGAAGGGTAACTTTCGACAATAAAGACTCAGTAGTACTAACATTCGGTGAAGGCTACAAGCAAGTGGAGTTTGATGATCAGGTATTCGATATTAAATTTGGTGCACCGACACGAGAACTGTATATAAACGGTAGGTGGTACGAATGTTTCTTCGGTGGACAGCCATTAGGCGTAATTATTGACGGTAAACCAAGATTAGTTCATTTGGAGGGCCCTATGCCTCAAGTGGACATCGGTAAAACCAAACGCACCGACTTAGTAGCCGGTAAGATCAATCTCATTGTGAATGCTACACAGATGCATCCAGTGTACTTGGACGCAAAGGTACAAAAGATTTTGGTCAATGGACAGTACCTGACCGTGCGCTTCGTAGATTCACTGCGCACAGTTTTAATCAATGAACAGCCTTTTAAAGTAGAGTTTGGAGGCCTTCCCAAGCCAATCGTTGTTGGCAGCGAGAAATATTTTATAAGATTCTCCGCTCTGCCGAGAAATATTAAGCCTGGACATATTCAGATAGCTAATATGGAAGGCATAGGCTTGCCACTGGTGCCACCCGTCAAGAAAGTCGATGAACTTAAGGAAGAGGAAAACCCAATGGAAGTTGACCAACAAGAACAACCCATTGCGCGTCCGGTGAAGACGCCCAGCCCTGAACTCAACCCTGAGAGTCTAGGTCTCGACATGTTGGCGAGCGTCATGCCGTCCAGTTCTGTGCCCGCCTCCGGCTCGGAGTACAGCGTAGCCGAGCCTCTATTCTCAAAAACTGACAAGATCCCTGGACTTGAGACACCCATGGAAGAGAAACCAGCTCCAGTACTGCCAATATTGGGCAACATTAATGTCAACGACCTTTTCGCTAAGCTAGTGGCAACTGGTATTGTGCAAGTACCGACCACTACCCAGCCAGAGCCTCAAGAGGAAGCAAAAAATAAACCTGAAGAAGTTAAGAATAAACCACGGGAAGACAAGAATACTATTCACAAAGTAGACTTTACGAAATCCGAGACATTCAGAGTGTAAGTATTTTATTTCTTGTGACTGATAAGTTTCATTCTGTGAAGTTGTATAAACATACTAAATGTTTTGTTTTCTTTTTAGTAAACAACCAGGACTGGTAGCTAAGTTGTACGGCGGGATGCAGTGTTCAGGGTGTGGGGCTCGGTTCCCGCCCGAGCACACTGTGCGATATTCTCAACACTTGGACTGGCACTTCCGACAGAACCGACGCGACAGGGACTCAGCGCGCCGCGCGCACTCACGACACTGGCACTACGACCTGTCAGACTGGGTTCAGTATGAGGAGGTCGAGGACTTGGAGGAAAGAGGTAACGCATTCAAACATTGTTTGTTGTTTATTGATATAGGTACCCACAATACGTTATTTTTTATGACTATTTAAAGATGCTGATTGCTGTGACTTTAGGCTTTTTTTTTCTTATTTTTACCAACATATATTTTCCCGTGTAGAAAAGAGTTGGTTCGAGACGGGCGGTAACCCTACGGCGTCGGGCGAGGGCGCGGTGGAGGCGCCGGCGCCCGCCCCGCTGGCCACTCCGTCCGCCGCCGCCTCCGCGCCCGCCTCGCACTGCTGCGCGCTCTGCGGGGACACGTTCCAACAGTTCTACAACGAGGACAAGGAGGAATGGCACCTCAGGAATGCTATCAAACACAATGATGATTACTATCATCCACTCTGCTTTGAAGACTACAAAACGTCACTAACAAAGGCAGAAGAACCTCAACTAAAGGAGACCTCTGAGGACATCGCATCTGAGGAAAAGATGGAAGAGGAAGCCATTGAGATCAAAGATGTGGATGAGACTACAGAACAATCTGACAACGAATCTGTGGTTGAAGTCGTCGAGGACCCGAGGGAGTTGGACCCCGTTGAAGTAAGTACTATATTTACTACCACTTCTAATATTTCCGTCTGAAAAAAGATAATAAATAAATACGAGACATGTACTTAGGTAAATGTACCCAAATCTCGCGATAACTTTGCTCATCATTTGAATTGGCTAGTGTTATTGCAACAACTAAGCATTTATAGCCATCCAAATGAAACCAATTGAAGATAACTGCTTCAAAATTTGGTTTCAATATTCCACTTCACAAACATACATACTTTGTGCACATTATTCACACATACATTACCTTCTTTCTATATTTATTTCTTTTGAAACTTTCCAGATCGATGAAGAAGAAGATGACGAGGATGACGTCGTTTTCAAAGCAGAGCCAGTGGTCGAGGTTGTGGTTGAAGATGACGCTGAAACGGATGATGAGCTTACTGCTGAAAGAGCTGAACGAGACCGTCTCGCAGAGATTGATTTCAGTAAGATAAAGGTCAAGCAAGAACCCATCGATCCCGGTGAGTAACATTACACATTTATTTATATACAAGTCGGTTGCTAATAATTTCTTCAAAACATTCTCAACTATGAGGCAAAGAAATAAAGAATACCTGTGACCCATTACAGTAACTAAACTCCCTCATTTTTCTATTCACAAAACAAATCTTTTTGTTACTATTTACTTTTTTCTACTATTTTTTAAACTTAAAAATATCTAAAATATCGTATTTTACACAAAATATACATGATTTTTTCATTTTTTTAGATGACGAACCTATAGTGACTGCTGAAGAAGAAACCATCCCAACGCGAATAGACCACACACATCCAACAGTGGAGTCATCTATCGACGGGAACCTTCAACTGGATGCGGCAAGCATTCCCACAGCCTCCATACCCATTGGAGGAATCCGGATCAACATCTCCAAATCCTTGCCTTCCTTTGTGACTAACAACCAAGAAGAAAAAATTCTGGAGGATGTGAGTGCTGATGATGAGCCCTTGCCACCTGGTGAGGAGCCTGAACTAGAGTATACATTGAAACCGGCACTTCAGGGTGTACAGTTCAGCAGGCAACCTCCTGTCAACCAAGGCAATGAGCTCTCTGGATTGTGCTCAATCATGTAAATAGTTACAATTTTCCAGCCTTCAAAGTGCAAATACCATGATCTGTATTATGTTAGTTCAATTATACCAAGTTTTGAACCTATATTGTGTCTGGAAATGTGTGCTGAAGTGTTTAGGAATAGGTTTTGTAAAACCAACTAATTTAATCAGTAATTTGCTGTTATTTAATAATTAGTTATTATTTACGACATGGTGTACATTTGAAATAACGTTAAACGATAAAAATATAGACTGATATTATAATATAATCAAATTCGTAAAACTAAAAAGAAACGTGAAATATAGAAATGCAATAACTAGGTTATATCAATAAATAATAGGTACCTTCCATCGAGAATCGGCCAATCAATTAATGAAATTGAATCAAAATTACTGAATTAGTTGGTTTGTTGTGATTGAATTTGTGCCGACTGAGGCAGTGGTTATCTCTTTGGTCGTTTTCCTATTATAATATATAATAAAAATGTATGCATTCACTGTTAAAAAATGTAAAACTTGTTTTATTAGATGCTCAAAATGCTATTTTAGGTTAATTTACTTTCTTTTCTAATTTATTTTTTCCTCTATGGCTCTCGCTGTTACGTCGTCGCAAGCGCAAGTCATTCTAGTCGAGTCAAGTATGAATAGGCTTTTCAATTTTCAAATTCTCTGGACTCCTAACATAATGTTATTGGCGAGAAGTGTTTGTTCTCTGCTTACACACAGTAGGACTTTTCTACTAGTTGCACGGAATCTATTTTACATAATCATTATGTATTGAAATTTATACAGAGTAACTCGCTTTTCAAATTTCTAACCAACAGTGAATGCATCTAAAAAGTTAATGCTTTGCTGACATGAGTCCAAATAGCATCATTGTGTATACTGATTTGTAATTGATGTCAATGTATGTTCTATTCTCTTGTCATAAATATTTTTATTACTTAGTATTGTGCAAACAAAAGAGATGAAGAGGCTAGTGGGTAGTAGGTACATCATTATTTTGCACTACTTAACAGATTTTCGACTTAATCAAAAAGCAATATACCTAGCTGAAAATGTAGAGTTCGACCTGCTAGCTTCTGCACAAACCTAGATTGTATTGTAGAACGACATATACGAAATACCTCTGTAGTGGAGAATCGCTGTTTGTACGCATCTGTGGAAAACATATGGAATGGTGATCTATAACGTCATAATATCCGCAAATTTTAGAATAATTAGACAATTTTTTATGTTCTATCTTTTTTATGTGAGACTCCTGGCTACAAGGTATTACAATTACTCCAATGCACCTTTGTCTAGCCATTGGGACTATAAACACTATGTTATCTTATATTACTCTATAACTGCCATTAATTTATATTATTCTAGCAGATGTTATATCTTCCAATATGTCAGTATATAAGACATTTAATTTACAGCTTGCTTCGAAGCCAGCCTGTATAGCCTTCCATATGAAGCCACGCAAGAATTGTTAAAACGAAATGTGATATTAAAGTTAAGTTAACGACTTGTTTAACAGCGAACATGCGTTTTGTTTGACGAATTATTTTGTATATCATGTAGTTAGTGTAAATATCTGATTAGCCTGTCTGTAAATATCTAGAGTTATGTGTAAGGGTACAAATTGTTACACGAGTTTGTATGATTGAAGAATGTGTAAATATTTAGTTATATAGAATCTCTTTGCAGGGTTTTATTTCCTTGAGATGTGTTTTGTTGCCACATCAGTGGCTTTTCTTTTGTATAAAAATAAAAAAGTCCTACAAAAATTAAATAAATGTAATGTTTTAAATAATGATGTATGTTTATTATAGTTTAGGTTTATGGTAATCAGAATGAACCTTTCAATCAACTCTTTATCACATGTTGGAACTTTGATCACAATTGTTTGTTTGTTTAGTTTACAATGTGTAAATAAATATTTACATCATGATTTCTATCTTTGATTTCTCTCGACCCCGCCTGGAAGTAGTAAAAGCCTGCAATCCTTTCCTTACTTATATTATAAATCGGAAAGTGAGTTTGTTTGTTTGTTCCGATTTCACGCCGTAACTACTAAACCAATTGCTTTGAATTTTTGCAGACGTAAAGTTAGAAGTCTGGATTAAATAATAGGGTACTTTATAACCCGGAAAAAATTGATATTTCCGAGGAAAAACAAAAGTATTAGTATAGATGGCGCTGTGTGTATTGGTATATGACACATAGGCTACTTTTTATTCTTTTGTGACGCGAGCGAAGCCGCGGGTAAAAGCTAGTAATATTATAAATCGGAAAGTGAGTTTGTTTGTTTGTTCCACTATCACGCCCTAACTACTAAACCGATTGCTTTGAATTTTTGCAGACGTAAAGTTAGAAGTCTGGATTAAATAATAGGGTACTTTATAACCCGGAAAAAATTGATATTTCCGAGGAAAAACAAAAGTATTAGTATAGATGGCGCTGTGTGTATTGGTATGTGTCACATAGGCTACTTTTTATCCTTTTGTGATGCGAGCGAAGCCGCGGGTAAAAGCTAGTTCTCTAAGAGAGTAAATCTATAAGATTCAAATGACCATTTTCGACAACATCCGGCCTGGGTAACGCACACAACATTTTTGCTTTACTCTTGAAGTAATTAGATAAGAGTTACAAACAGGAACAAAATTCCCTAACTACAATAAATTTAAATAAAGCCATCGCAATTATGTGGCCATCTTGGAAAAGGCAAAGTGTCCTTAATATTACTGACATTAGGTACCTACATAAAACTTGCAGTAGTCGTTCCAAACGTAAGCCATACCCGCCTGTGGGGATGTTACCAAACTTCCGTAGATCTAAATACCAGTTCAATCTACCTGCTAGTAATTAGGACTTTCGTTTCTCATGTCTTCTCTCAACAGTGCCCTTAGAGTGGGTAAATATAATAATAATAATGCGCTTTTAGTGCGATATCATCGAGTTCGTGTTTCAAATACTAGATTGAGTAAAAATCGCTAGTTACTCACGTGGAAATACTGAGAAAAGCTCTACTAGTTTCGGACCTCAGAGGGGTTCTTCCTCATGAGCAGCGTGTGCGGTTGCGGTGAGACTTGCGGTGCGCGACTGCGCAGCCTAGGTATTTTCGCGTGAGTAACCCGCGATTTTTACTTTGTTTGACATGTCTCACGATAGTTATTATAAAAACAAATTCTAGACCATTGGTACTCAACCTTTGTTATATACAAGGCCACAAACACGTTTTAGTCATGGTGTCACGGGCCGCAAGCAAAAAATAATTTTGGAGTTTTTTTTAAGGGGGAGAATCATCAAATGACTTCTTTTGCCTGGATGAGGCGCGAGGAGTGGCGGTAATTTGCGGAGAATTGCTTGCTTGTAAAATGTTAATAATTTAGGGGTAAAAGAATAACGTTTCACAGATTTGGCTTGTCGCTGCATGCAAACCTTAGGTGAGAATCTGTAAGCTTGTTCCTATACACGTTCTTTATGTATCTATTACATTTTCGAAAAAGACTATTCACACAAGTACGCAGACCCAAAGAAGGTTAGTAGTATTTGATCACTTCTTTGAACACTTTTATATATTTTGGGAACAATAACAATTTTCTCCTGTTGCACACGGGCCACTGATAAAGGCCCGGCGGGTCGGGCCGCGGGCCGCAGGTTGAGTACATCTGTTCTAGACTGTCGAGAGTTTGTTGCACTTATTTATGACGAAGCTAGACAGATATTGTTGAAGAAATGTGCATCCCACATGTTCCTTATTGATGATCAGTCAATACTGATGAGGGCATCAATAAGGGACAGGAGCTGACCTTGGTTGAACATTGCAATGGGGTCCCTGTGTTTGTAGTCAGGTGGCCCAAGGATATGAAGTCATTTTATATGAAGGAATGTTCTGAAGATAACACACAGGTAAACTATATGAGACACTTTCTATTCTTGCAAATGCTACGAGTAGTTAAAAATAATACCTTGTTATGTCTATTAAATGACTCTTATGTATTATAGTAAAATTTAACCTTCTATCTTCATCTAGCCTTTGTCATTGCCTTTGATGTGAGACTTTAGAGTAGAGAGAGGCGTTAGACAAGGAGACCCCCTATCTCCTAAATTATTCTCAGCGGTACTGGAGTCTGTGTTCAGGGAATTAGATTGGGAGCATCTTGGGATTAATGTGGACGGAGCCCCGTTAACACACTTAAGATTCGCAGATGATATAGTGCTATTTGCTAAGACATCAGAAGAGTTAAATAAAATGATAAGCGATCTGGCAATGGAAAGTGAAAAGGTAGGGTTAAAGCTTAACCCAGAGAAAACTCGAGTAATGACAAACGGAAACAAAGACAAAATACAGCTAGGAAATACAGACATTACTTACACCGACGAATATACTTATTTGGGACAGATCATAACTCTAAAAGAATCGATGGGCAAAGAAATAGAAAGAAGAATCACAAGTGGATGGAAGAGGTACTGGAGTCTCAAGGAGGCCTTTCAATAAAATTAAAGAGCAAACTGTTTAACGCCTGCGTATTACCTGTCCTCATCTATGGTAGCCAATCATGGGCCCTAACTCAAGATCTGTCAAATAAACTTGCAACCTGCCAATACGCAATGGAGAGGAGCATGATAAACGTTAAAAAAAAGAGATAGAAAAAGGAAAACAGACATACGATACAAAACAAAAACAACAGATGTAACATTAAAAATAAAAAGACTGAAATGGAGGTGGGCAGGGCATATGATCAGAGGGCAAGAGAATTGGAGAAAATCGTAACCAGTTGGTAACCCAGGGAAGGAACCAGGAAAAGGGGTAGACCTCTTAAAAGATGGGATGATGACCTCAGGCAGGTGGCAGGAGTTATATGTCACAGAGTAGCTCAAGAACGAAACGAATGGAAAAGGTTGGAGGAGGCCTTTGCCGACCGGCAAAGATCTCCAAAAAATAAGTAATAGGTATTTTATAGATACTAGACCTAAGTAATGCAAATTCTAGACAATATTAAATTATGTAACAGTTATTAGTTGTATCT